AAAGGTGACACGCAACCCAGCCTCCGAAAAAAGTCAGCAGAGCGGATGGAGCGTCTGTGATTGTGACTGGAGTCCAGGGTCAGACAGAGGAGTGACCCATGTCTGCACACTTATGTAATGGCAAAGGCTGAGTGGGGAGAGATTTATACAACACAAATACACACACCTGGTGGATAAACTGTTTAACATCATGTATAATAAAGAGAGAAAGTAGCTCTGGGTATCCTTCAGAGCCTGCCGATACCATACATATCTATCGGACTTTCAATTTGATATGATGTGGCATAATTCTAAACAATACAATACAGTAAAAGATAAAGTAGTAGTAATTGTTATATTTTTTATCATTCCAATGCGGCCTTGTTCATGTCAGATACGCCTTATTAAACACATTGTAAAGAAAAAAGTTACTATTAATTATTATTATTTACCTTTAATCAACCAGGAAAGTACCACAGAACCTATTTTTCCGGGATTATTCTGGACCCAAAGAACGGGGAAGCTATTGTACATGTTTTAGTGATAAGGAAAACCGGAGCACCAGGAGGAAAACTACGCAGATGCGGGGAGAACAGGCAACCTCTGGTCAGAAATTCCCTGTTCTGTGTGTATACAATTACACACATTTATGTATGAAAATCTGAAGAAATCCCCAACAAAATCTGAATTAAAAAAAATCAATATTGTATTTATCAGAGATAGTCGTCCATAATTGTTCGGAGCAACATCTTTAATTGAACACATTCCTGCAGAGACAACAGCTGAATGTCTGTGGAAAAAAGCAGGTGGCAGACCCCCCACTGTCACACGGTGCAAACTTACATTTGTTCTGATGCATGGAACAAATCACTATGTCCCAAAAACAGGTGAGTGTAATATAAAAAAAACAATGAGAAGAAATAGCCATCTACCCACAATGCTTTGCTTCAGCCCCTCGAGATGCTGATGGATTGGACCACACTCCGGCAGCTGGACTGGAGGTTTGGAGACAAAGTAACAAACAATTTTAAATGCTTTCTTTCCTCTTCTTCCCCAAATTGCTGCATGATTAATTATTCAGGTTCGTCCGCTGCCGTTCCCGCGGGCAACGCAACATCTGTCATTTATTTAAAGAACAAACTCGCAGGGAATCAAGTCACAGACGCATTATGGCTTCATGTTTCATCTGGAAGTCTTGGCTCACCTGCTGTTTACAAAATAGTGGATGAAATCGTCTCAGAGAAAAATGTTATTATCTGGTGCATCTCCTTTGGGAGGCTCCAGCGTCCAGTGTTGGGCTTTGTCGAGGGATAAGCTGAAAATGCTCTGGAACAAAGGAGAAAGCAATCCTAAGAACGCAGTGCGATTTCTGTTTTTAGAAATTATTCAATAACCAAAATGGATCAATCTTATTCGGTGCTTGCAATTTCTCATCTCTGATTCTACTTTTGTTGTTCAAATGGTTTTATATTTTCATTGACGGGATCACTGTCCATTGAAAAACAGTGTGTGTGTTAAATATGTAGCTTTTAGTCTTCAGATGCTATTTGTTTGCACACATTTATTCCATAGTATTGTCAAGGTGCAATGCTTGAATATAATAATCCTAAAGATTTCACCTGAAACTGTCCTGGTGGTCTCCTGCTTCACGGACATAGGTTTAATCAAAGTCACTCGACATGTTAAGGTTGCACTATCACACATTTTTATTCAGAAATGATCATAATACCATTGTTTACTTTTGTTAATGGTCATATTGGACCATTTATTTTTTAGACTTTTTTTGTGTACAGATTTCTACAGCCCATATTTTGTTTTTGGCATCTGGACATGTGTGTGTGTTTCTTGTATAGAAGCAAATATATTTCATGTTTATGATAATGCATATTGTTTGATCACATGGATCTGTACAATAAGGTTTTTTTTTGTTGTTGATATGTTTACTGATCCATTCCTTTTTAAGATAAGATAAGCTTTATTGACTTCACAGTGGAGATATGTACATGTCATATTCAGGTTGTGCACAAAGACATGAAGTCTACAAACATGTTAAAGGTTAATAATAGTCTCTTTTGTGCAGGATATAAAACCATTTTTTTTTTTTTGTCGATCACACATCCATGAGCTGGCTTACAGAACTGTATAGAACTCTTTTATTGATGTCTAAATCTGTGCATTGCTAGGTAAAGGTGCACTTTATTGATCCCCGTAGGGCAATTCAATCCTCTGCATTTGACCCATTCTGATGCCGCTAAGGCTTACATCAGGAGCAGTGGTCGCCGTAGTAACAGCTCCCGGGAACCCATCTCCAGATGTGATGCTTGGCTTGGTCAAGCCTGGTTCACACGGCAGGATATTTAGGCCGATTTAGACCCGATTTACCCCTTACGACAATCTTAAGAAACGCTCCGATTTCCGTAACAAAATCTTACAGATTATCCTGCCGTGTGTGGTGTGTTAAGACTGCACTCGTCGCTCGGAAGGACATCGGGACTGCTCCCGATCTCAAATCGGGGATATCCAACATGTTGGATTGTTTTGGCCCGATTTCTTGTCGTGTGTGGTGTCCTCCGAGGACAAGCGAGCGCGTTACCATGACTACGGCGTGTAGCCAATAAGAAGACGAGGTGACAAGCCGGTGAGGAAACACCGGAAAGAAACCAAAACACAGCAGCATGGCTTTGACCATTGCCTTTTCTTTGGATTACGTGTCTTCTCTGTTAACAACAAACTGCACACTATCGCCACTGCATCCTCTTCGTCCGCCATGACTGTTTACTCTGAAGTCACGCTTGATCTCGAGAGATTTTGTGAGATTTCCGTCTGACCTGGGAAAGCTCGGGGGGGGGGGCGTGTCGGTTCGTGTGTGATGTTTGTGGCTTGCGTGATCTTGCCGTGTGGCTACGCACCACACACTGCACGACCAAAGTGGTTAGACGCAGGATTTTTAATCTCCCCGTGTGGGGTCTAACACGGAGAAAAATCGGCCGACAATTTTAAAATCGTCTCGTGTGAACCAGGCTTCAGGACTACCGGAGGATTTAACCTAGTGTGCATGTTTTTAGTGGTAGGGGAAACCGGAGTACCCGGAGGAACCCAGGCAAGCATGGGGAGAACATGCAAACTCCACTCAGAAAGACCCCGTTCCGACCTGGATTCGAACCCAGGACCTTCTTGCTGAGAGGCAATACTGCTATCCACTAAGCCACCGTGCCGGCCAGTATCTATTGCTATTCACCCAGTGTCTGTTTCATGAATGCACAGGTGGGACCCAAAAGCCAGGTCCAGCGAAGGTCGACGGTCCCATGTGACGCCCATCGTCCGCTCGACTGTTGTTGCGATTCTGGGCGATAAAGAGACTACATTGAATTGAATTGCTTGCATATGAAATATCTCCCTCTTCCTGAATGACCAACATATCGTGTGGTGGGTGTTGTAATATCATTTGATGCATCACCATTAATTTATGACGTCAGATTTGATCCAATTCTTCCAGATAAGAAAGGTTGAAGTGTGAAGCTGATGAGCCAAACAGACAGCATTAAACAGGCTGCGTGAGACAGACGTAAAAATACCAGTGCCCTTTAGACTTTTATGATGTAGTTTTTCTGTCTGGCAGCTTTTAAAGACGACACTTCACACCGGAATCCCACAGTCGCAAAATGACACAACACACAACCAGTTCATTTTACAACTACATTTATTAAAAAACAAAAATAAAATCGGCCAAAAACAAACAAAACAAAGCAACTGGCGTCCCATTGGGGGAAACCGTTTTACAAAGAGACATTTTCAAAGCAAAACAAACCAGCGAACTGTCATCTAGCAGCATCCAAATGTTGGAATCTCCGAAATCGTCCTTATTTATATATTTAAATATATATGTCTTTTTTGCCCTGGCAAGCTACACACTTACTTTACAACATACACAGAGCTTTTATCTCTCCTTAGTGCAGAAAAGAAACAATAACCCCTTAATAAAATAAACAACTTTTTAGGTTAAATAAGCTTAAATAATAGTGTTAAATACAAGACACTTCTGTGGCAGATATATACACGAATAAACACATTTGGCATTGTAGTTGTGGTTCACTGGCGCTTGCTCTAAAATGGTCTAAAAATCACTAAAACGGCAACATTTCACAGTCGTACATTTACACACGCGCACCTTTCATTCACAGAAATCATATCAGTGAGCCACAGACAAGGCATGTGTTTAACAAGAGACCCGAAGCAACAAAAAAACACCCATTTACAAGAGTTTTTAGGCACAGTCGCTTTTACACATCCCATTCGACTGCTTTGTGCTAGCGTTTTGTCTTTTTGCGAAAAAAAAAAGAGAAAAATCCACAGTTTTGATACTACCACTTTTTGTTATTGCTAGGACATCGTGACAGTGAATGGAAACTACAGACAAAAGTAATCACGCTTGTATTTAGGGAAACCTCCGCAAAGAACGACTCAAAAACATTTCACCGACCCCGCGCTCACAACACTGAGGTGACATGGAATAAGGATAAGGAGGAACAAAAATGGTCCAAATATCCATAAACATCAAAATCCAAAAATAGTTCTTAGTTGAAGCTACATTCATGTTTCAATCCACAGTACTTGTATCCGCGTAAGTACCACCACTACTTCACATCCAATACATTCGTCCAATTCCCCATTTTTTTGTCCGCTTTCTGGCTCCTCGCTCGGGACAGTGTGCGCAGTATGATACAGTAATTCTGAATGTACAGTACAGTAGACCGACGTGACGACAGCAAGTAGGTAGATTCTTCTATGTAAATGACTAAAATTAGCTTTACATTCCACTAAAAAGATGCCACGGACATGATCCAGGCGCGTTTTCAAGTCTGTTTTACCAGCTTCCGGAAAGTTCACCGTGACGAAGACGTCCGTTCGAAGCAGGAGAGATCCCGATGGTCCGAGTTGTTTGCCAATGAGCGGTTAAGCTACAGTCCCTCCCCAAAATGTCAGTTAATGTGTCTGCGGGCGATACGACGGTGATGTCGCGCTCACGGTTTCTTGTCGATGGAGTGAAAGAACCACTCGGTGAACTTCCTGAGCTGTGCGGCCGCGGTCAGGCTCTCCTCCTGCAGGCGCATGTTGTCCTGTCTCAGATGTTGGACCTCTTCTTGGAGCATGGCCTTGTCCTCTTTCTCCTGCAATGACGCACGAGAAGAAAGTGTTAAAGCCGTGAACTGTAGAAGGAGCGCTTTGACTGAGTGCGGACAAAAAAACATACAGAAGGTGAATAAAGTTAACAAAAACAGGCTCTTTGGGTGGGAATTTGGAACCACATTCGTGCCTAGCAACGGACTAGCAACCAACGAGCCTATCAGGAGCGGCACTGGTCCATTTATGCTTGTACTAATTTCTGTATTAATTGTGGCACAGAAGATAAATTGGGGACATTTCAGTGTCATCGTTGCACACATTGCAGCAGATAAAGAAGGAAATAAGAGCACTCAGATTGCACACATCAAACCAGAGTATATTAAGCTAGGCACCTGATTGGTCAGTTGAAAGGACTCAAATCTGGATTTAGAAACACATTATCGGATTCAAAAAAGCAGAATTAATAGAGCCGAGTCAGGCGGAGAGACCTTGGACATTTAAGCCCAAAATGGTGAGTGCGACACAAACTATTTAGAGGTTTTTTTTTTGTTTTCAATGTAAGTTAACAGGAACCAAAACAGAACTGGGAGAGTAAAACTTTGCGCATGAGGGTTTGCATTGTCCATCTATATACAGTCTATGATTAAAACAGATGTATGTATGACAGGATGGAATGCGGAAAACTTGCTCTTCGATTTTAGCCTCTGTGGCAGCTGTTCCAAACGATGAGCCATGGACTACCGGGCACATTTAATACTCTTGAATATATTTTCTTGTAAGTGTATACAGTTATACAAGTAATTTAGTATTCAAAACCTCCATTGGTTCAACATAAATATTTGAATCAGGAGAGTTGACAATGGGTTTTATAAAGCTGTCATTTTGAAAAGTAGTAAGTTTAGTTTCATGGACTAACCCAAACTAGTAGAATGACTATTTTGCTCAGAAAGACATTATCAGGATTTAAATGTGTCTATAGCCTTGTTAGGAAATGTGCTCCAATATTTGTCAGTGATGCAAAGTCAAACATCTATGACAAAACCCTCCCATTAGTTTTATTGGACTTTCTGTTATCAGTACCAGCTTTTGTTTAAAACATTTGGGCAGCATTTTACATCTGCATTGTCTCGCTGCATAAACATATTTTACGAGATACAAAAAGCTCAATCAATTTCAGGACGTGGAGCGTACACAAAAAGGACACAGCGGAGACTGATAAACGGCCTATTATGAACACATCCGCCGTTCTGCAGAGCCCCGTGTAAATGGGAGGCATCAACATTAGCAATCCGGCCTTTTCCCTGTTATGATTAAAGTGCATTTCCTGCTCGGAGTTTTAAGCGCATTAGCCGAGATGGGGAGCACGGAGCACGGGGGAAGAAGGATATTAAATCAGAGAGACAAGTTTGTATGATAGAAACCTCAAGGCATCGATGTTCCCCACTGCTGATTCACCACAGTGTGACAGGCAGACTTGAACCAGGACCCAAAAGACCAGCTAAAAATATGACGTATTACCTTTCTGAGGTCATTCTGGAGCTGCCGCAGGATCACCTCCAGCTGGTTGACTTTGCCAGTGAGAGACGAGGGAGGGCTGAGGGAGGAGACGCAAAAGATGTGTTAAAGACGACATGTTGGGCTTTTGTCTGCAGAGTTATAAGATAGGATACAAATTCATTTAAAAAAAATCTTTCTGCAGAAGGACGGTGCACAGACAATTATCTATGTGCCTAATTCTTATGAACATTGCGAAATATGCTCGTCTTTACAAACCAACAAAAGGTTTTTGTTGAATTTGGATTTTGCTGTGGGTAGTGGAGGGGCAAATGAGGATCACCAGAGCAACAATCATCACTCACATATGCGTTAATTACTATAAATACATCCTCAAGTCCTTTTAGGCTGGTGTACCTTTTTTCATACATAAAACATGTGGTTTGTCCCAACAGGAAGCAATGTGAATGAAGTAAAATGTTGTGAATAAATTTGACCCCAAATGATATACTCCTTACTTGTTAAAGAGGAGTTCACGATTCCAGGCTTTTGGGCTCTCTTTTTCACTTTTCTGTCTGAAAAAGCTGATCTAAGATATAACAGGACCAAAAATAGTGCTCATGTAATTGAAAACTAGTGATAGAAAGATTTTATTACAGAGTTCATTTTTTGTACTTTTAAAATTAAGTGCCTCAGCTTTAATGAACGCATTTTCTTGTTTTATTTCTCGTAGATCTACAAAGGGTTAAACACATATCTGTCCCTTATAATGGAGGTAGCCAGTGTGGAAATGGTTTATTTTAGTGTATTGAAATGCCATGATATTTCAAACATAAAGCAAGAAAATGATCGCAATCCCTGAAGGTCATATGTAAATACCAGGTATGAATACATTAACCAGAAGTAGGTCAAGATGGTCACAAGAGTCTCCGTATAGAGGCAATCAAAAGCACGCTAGATTTCAGTCTACTCTAACCTGCGAGATTTGCTTTGTTTCTTGATTAAACAATACAAAGAGCTTATCAGGCACACATTTTTATGATTCAATTAGAACGACTAATCAAGCTAGTCAATTTTTTTTGGATTGAAGATGCTATTCTTTAATCAAGCTAAATGTGACTAAATCCTTCTATTAGCATATTCTTAGAAAAAGGAAAGAAAACCTACGCAGAGTCCATGGCTGCGCCTCCAGCCTCCGCCACTCGTCTGGTGAGCTCTTTGGAGATCTGCAGAGCCTCGGCGCGCTGCATGTCCGTCATGGTGCAGAAAGACGCCACTCGCTGATCTGGGTAACACACACACACGAGAGGCGACAGCTTAGAGATTTGTACACACATTTCCAGGGGTAAAAGAGCGGAGGAGAAAGATTATCACATGCACACATTCACACAGTCATGCTTTACGCAAAGCAGGAGAAAAGCAATTGTATTCAAATGTGTGAAATACCTGTATAGTGAATCATTACACAAATACATTTCATCAAGGGGTTATAGGAAAAAGAATAATTTGAAAGACTTTTTAGCGACCTCACCATTTTCACTTTCCATAGTTATATATTAAAACTGGGGTACTCCATCAATAATAATGGTCAACAAAACAGACCACAACATGCTGTTTTATGTTATTAGAAACATTTTATTTTTTTCATAAAGAACCATGGAAATAGTACTCTGACTCTTTTGGACCTCACTTTTCAGTCCGAAAAATGTGTCTTAGTAAAAATGTGACAGAGATCAAAGTGAAGTAGTGATGGAACAAAGCTATTTTGAGTGCGAGGAACAAGTCACATGGATTATATCGTATACTTCAATTGTTTGTGGTTTGAAAGTTAGATACCCCAGCTTTAAGAAGGAGTTCTTATCCAATAATGGTATTGTTGCACAACTTGTGGACAACGTTGGACCTTTTCTTTACAAACGCAGATCTGTATTTGCCCAGTTTTCTGTGTTGCAAATATGCATACATAGTGGAAACCGGGCATTTTCGGGACAGTTGTAGGAGTTCCCCTGGGCTCAATGACGAGACCGCCCGAGTTTGCGCTGACAGCTGTTTGTCTGGTAATGGACCGCATCGGACTGAGCTGCGAGCCCCGAGTCACGCTTGTTTTAGCATATCAGACCCTTAAGCTCATTCAAAGCCCCATGGAAAACACAAAGTTGGCGTCTTTCACTTGGGGACAGCTCAGTTACTAGAAGGCTCTTTCAAGTCTGCTAGTCTCACACTTAAGATACAAGGATCTGCATATGCATAGAGAAGATTAAGGAAACTCCTCTATCAAATTAGCCCCAAATGAAAGATAATCCACTCCAAGACAAAGAGATGATAGGGCCTGGAGTGAGAGGAGATGTCATTTACATATGAATGAATATTTTCCCCATATTCTGCATCATGAAGATTAAAGACTTCAGGGGAAAGCGGATTGTCATTTTAGACTTGCTGTTCAGATTCACATGACAAATACATAAAAGTGAGGAAAAGGTAGATTATAATACAAGAGGAATATGAGAGGAATATAAATATAGTGTATAGACACACAAACAAAACATTTACACTGAAGTTACTAACTTATACATTCATGAAGATAGTATTATTTTTTTTTTCTACAACATTGTTAACAAAGAGGACAGTGGACCAACAAAGAGCAGTCAGATGTACTGCTTAAAGTTCTTCCTTCTGGATTTACAAAAGATAGCACACATACTACCAAACAAAGCACAGGTGGACTGATTTAATCACAAATATCGACTTTTAAAGTGAACTCTTATGGGAAAAAACACCTCTTTTTGCTTCTTCTTTACAATACATTAGCTATAATTACCCATGAAGAACATTTTGTCATACTAGTGTACTGCATGTGTATACTAGAGTGTGGAAAAGAAGATAAGTAAAACAAATTGTTTATGCATTTTAAAAAGATTCAATGAGTTAAATTAGATGTGTTGAAACTTTTTCCATTTGGGACCACATATTGAAACACAAATTGAGCGGAGGGTCACATTTGTAAGTGTTTCACCCTGAATTTCAAGTATGTCTTATACAAATATGTTAGTTAGCACAAACATTTATACCAAGATGTTAGTTAGCTCAATGGTAAAGAATGTGTAATGAGGCCCGATTCTTCAGTCTACTTTCAGCTCTTTAACCATTATCTGGACACCCCAGCTTAAATAGTATCCTTTAGTTTGATGTTTTGTATATTGAAGATTAAAGAATCTGGCCTGGTTTCCTTTACACTTATTAAAGAACCATTAAGTGATATGTTAAATAGTTGTAATATTGAAAGAGAGTGAGACTTTGGTGCTTCGAGTCCATTCAACCTGTCTGTTTGCATCAACGTAGTAAGCAGTCTCTCAGCAGTCACATGACCCGGCTTATAAACGCCATAAAACGCTTTAGCTCTTTCTCTGCGGCTCTAGACATCGCTGCCTAAGCACACATGGCACAAAGGCAGCCCGGAGCCTCTCTTTACTTGGCAACCACGCTCCAGTTTACACAGCGCTTTCTGGGCCAGTCCTTCTGCCGTGACAACCCTTGTTCGGTTGCCAGATAAGCTCCGCATCTCCACCACACTTAAATAACTATGTCGCAGCGCTCCGTAGAAGCCAAACGAGCATCAAAGAATTAACCGTTTGGAGTACTCATTAATTATGCCCACTGAGCGGTCGCACGCCACTACGCTTGTCGGTCTGTGGGGTCAGGTTGAGTTCAAGCAAAGAAATGGCTTGTGGCATGATCAGGCTTTCGTGATCTGTGGTGACGTGAGTGATAAAATGGTAAATGGCAGCGTTAAAACCACCGGCAACGCTCGCAGTGGTTTGGTGAGCGCTTTTCCATGACTGTTGAATGCGGAAAAATGCATGTGACAGAAAAAAATGACTTACTTTGAGGCACGACTTCATTGTCTGAAAAAGGAAAGGAATTCCCAATTTATTCACTTCTAAGACTAGGAAATGATCTTAAAGTATTTATAAACAGGCGCCTGCATTTTACACAGCCACAAAAAGCTGAAATGACCAAAATATCTAGAGCCTTAAAAACATTGGAAAAATCTCATTCTTAGAGACCTAACAGTGCCAGAATAGTCTCCATGTCTGTGCAATTGCATCACAACGGGACTCCCAGCTACAGGCGCAAAAAGCAAAATGATTCCCCTGAGTAGTTCCACCGCTAGGGCTAGCAGCACTTAGACTCAGGCACACACACAAACCTATGCATTCAAGCAAGGGGAAAGTTAAAAGGGCAAGCACACACGCGAAGCAACAGGGGGAGAGTTAAGTGGCTTTGGAGGGGGTTAGGAAAGGCGCTAGCAGGAGCCCTAACGGACTGGACCGGTTACCTTCGAAGGCCCGGGCCGCATCGACCAGGTGGGACCAGTCCAAGCGAGAGGCGGGGTCTGGGAGGGGCATGAGGCCGGGGTCGCTGAACTTGGAGCGGTCCGCCAGCGAGCCGTCCGAAAACCAAATCTCATCTGCAGAGACAGGCAGCACCCCATAAGCCTGGTCTACAAGGAGAGCTAAGAGGGGCTAGGTTTTTCATCAGTCTTAGGTAGGAGAATTGGAGAGGTTAGAAGGGCAAGGAGTGCGGATTACTTAAGTCAAACAAGTAAATATCGACATTAATATGTTGTTATAAATCATAAAAGTACGAGTTTTGAAGAGAAAGCACATAAGCGCAGACAAACAGCTTCATAATAAATATAACTTAATCCATATACCCGCGTTTAAAAAGCATTAACCAGCCACATAACTCATTAACAATAGCTCTACTAGTATATACATGATAAAATCTGCAATCACTTTATCGTCTACTCTAGAAGACACAACCATTAAAAAGGCAACCGCAAACTGGAGACATATAAAACCAAATTTGGACCATTGCTATAATCCTAATGTACCATGGATGACTGAGTTTTCTTTGCCCAATCCTAAAGTTTTGAGAGACGTGAGCTTCATCTTGAATTAAAATAAATTAAGACCTGGTCCACGGCGAGCATCTCTCCAGTGTGCATCAACAGCAGTACTTCCGAACCGCGATCAATAAACATCAAAGTCTGACATTAGGATATAAAGGTAGGGAAAGCTAGGGACTAAAATATCAAGGTGACCATCTTTTTTCAATCTCCCCTGGATCATAAGGGGGAGAAGGGCCCAAAATTCCCCACAATTCCTGGCAGCAATCAGGAATCCATCAGGTATGACAGGCAGAAGAGAACTTTCCAAAAGCTATTTTCTAGCCTAATGACAGCAGTCGCAGATGCTGAGGATGGTTTTGAGGTGGCATGGAGAGGACAGGAGCAAGGTAGAGGCAGATAGTGTGAGTGAAACGCTTTGCATGAAATGTTTGTGACAATTCTGATGGAAAAATAGATGCATTCGTGTCATAGTAGATTGGCAATAGCAGGGGGCCAGGCATGACACAGAGGTAGCAATAGTGGTCTTTCATAGAATAGGTTTGCTTGATCCCAGTTTAAGCTTATAGTTTTGACCTGGTTCTAGGTGGTTTAGTGTTAAGCTGGATCTATGAAGTCCAATAACAGACAATCAGACTGCAAATTAGTCCTTCAGCATGTCTAGTCTGAACATTCTAAAGATTATTTTACATCTTTCCCCCAATTGCTGCATTCTGCTCCACAATGTATACTTTTGTTACAACTCTCTTCATTAGGCCTTGTACGCCCTTCACTAAAACGAACAAATGGACTGATTCATTTAGTCTAATTATAAGGGGGAACAATCATTGCACAGAGAAAGCTCAGAAAGAATTCCGCCATAATCGTTCACAGTAAATATAAAGTAGCATATAACTGGTGTCTGGGGAAAGGACCAGCCCAGAGGATATACAGTAGAATAGTACCCTCAGCTAATTTGTTATTTATTAGTGAGTTTTGGCGTTCAAACTGGTGTCAGGATTTGCTGTTGAATGTTTGATATTACTAATATGTACTAAAGCGTTGTTGACAGTTTGTAGGCTCATACATATTCTCTGTGAGTAAAAGCCAGCAGTGACAGGTGTCTGCTTAATGCACATTCACTGACAGGCCCCTTGTAAGTTTCCAGTGTCTTCCCCTCCTCCAATTAGACGAATCTATCCAGAAGTGTTGTTCCAGAGTGCGCCAGTTGGACTAATGATATCGAAGAGACTTGAGTGGCTCTTCCACTTAGAGTCTGAATCCTGGCTCTTATCTTGCGCCGCGGAGGGGGTACCATAATCCCAGCGACACATGCAAAATAAGTGTTTGTAGATTTTGTTTGGCGGTGTGGAGAATGTTGTCAACAAGCGGCAGGAGAAAAAACATCCAGAGGGAAAAAATGAGATTCTTTGAAGTGACCTACTGACAAACAAGTGCATCTCAGTTCATTCATGTTTTGTCAGCATTTTAGGAGTTTGCTACATGACCTAAGGTGCATTAAGTCTAATAATTGATAATCTTTTCTCCATATAAATTTGAAATCTCTGGATACATTTCTTCATAAATAAGACATGTATTACATCCATTGGAGATTAGAGACTGACCAATATTTGGATTGGACGATACTGCACAGAGTCAGAACTAAAGATGGGTGGCAGCATTTCTGATTTATCCAGGTGAAATCTGGAACAGTCTTCCTGAAAATGTGAGACAGGCTTCTACTCTGACAATGTGCACATCCAGATTAAAACAACTCTTTGAAATGTACTGTGATTATTTAATTTAGTTTGAATGCCTTGAACGGTTTTCATGTTGTTAATTTGTATAGCACTTTGAGTTTCCTGGTGCATGATCTGTGCAATAAAAATAAACTTGTTTTGTCTTAAAATTGGCCATTTAAAAGATGTCCAGTCAAGCCACAGAGAACTCATTTAAATATCTCAATCATGAGTAATGAAAGACACATTATAAAACTAATCAGGCCCTAATCAAGAAAGACATAGAATAATATTAATTTCACGAGCAAATCTATAACAGATAACAGTGCTGTTTCTTATTATTAGAATGATACATATTTTTTGTGTGTGGATGGATGTGTTTTTGCTGCTGCTATTTTGTTTCTTGCCAAAAGCCATGTTCAAAAGGCCTGAGATGCACCTATAGTACCATTGCACGAGTACTCACTGCGCAGGTTGGAGGCTCCCTGGTTGTGGGTAATTCTCGGCGGCAGGGTGCAGTGGTACGGGGGCGTGGTACTGAAGAGGATGTCATTGGGCACGGCTTGGTCCAACATGGAGCTGCGTGAACTGGCGTAGGACGAGCACTTCCTGTTGCTGCACACGCTTTCGTCAGAGAGGGTCCGGTACAGGGAGCGCCTGGGGGAGAGGCTGTCCATAGCTGACACCTGAGAGCCAAACAGGAATGTCACAATGAAGAAGTGATGCTGAAGCTGAGGACGGTATCACAGTAGTATAACGTCAACAAGGGTGAGAAAAGTGCCACCAGAAAGCACTTATCACTTCACAGGGGTGGGAATTTTTCTTCTTCCCACTCCTTTTCGAGTTTGAAAAACGTACACTATTGTAAGTCAATGTAGATGAAGGATTTTCTAGAAAATTCTATGAAATGGCATTTAAAGTGATTGTCTGGAGTTTTTCAGAAAAAAGAGAGACAAGTACATGATTTGGAAAAAAAAACCCGACCCAAGCTCCCTCCCCCTTTCTTTCTGATTGGTCTACGCCTACGTTTCCGTAACAATCAACACATTTAAATGTTAATCAGAGAACACATTATACATATATAAATTATTAATACACATGCACAAAGGTTTTCAGAATTATTTGTTAACGTTTTCATGACAAAAATAGGCGATCGTGGTAAACCCAGAAGTAGCTATTATCATTAATTGAACCTTATAGGACACACCTGCAGAGGATCTGATTATGGATATAGGTTCAGTATATAAATGATTATGGACATAGGTTCAGTATATAAATGATTATGGACATAGGTTCAGTATATAAATGATTATGGACATAGGTTCAGTATATAAATGATTATGGACATAGGTTCAGTATATAAATGATTATAGATATATGTTCAGTATATAAATGATTATGGATATATGTTCAGTATATAAATGATTATGGATATATGTTCAGTATATAAATGATTATGGATATATGTTCAGTATATAAATGATTATGGATATATGTTCAGTATATAAATGATTATGGATATATGTTCAGTATATAAATGATTATGGATATAGGTTCAGTATATAAATAATTATAGATATAGGTTCAGTACATAAATGGATAACTCAGCGCAGATGTTCAGAATTCTTTGTTCACTTTTCATGTAGTTCCAGAGCCTAATAGAGGTTTGATTCGGAGGCTCCAGGAAAACAAATAACTGAGCATGCGCAGCTACGAGCATCAGCGCCGATGATTGACAGCCCTTGGCATGACTCAATTGGTTAAACTGGACAGAATCAGGGATTCTGAGCTATAGCTAAGTGAAGGGAAGGTGGGACTTACCCGTAATATTAGAATGAATAAAATGACTTATTTTATATCAACATTGAAGGCCAGGAGGTCAATTTAATACAATTCTTAAAATTTGTAATTCATTTAGAGTTCCAGACTATCACTTTAATGAAAGACATACATTGAACTCAACTCAGCTCAACTAAATGAACCACGCAGATCAAAAAATGTCACCAGGCTATAGTACAACCTTGAAGAGCAGATAAACAAGTGAATAAGTTGTTCACAAGAGATGACATAAGCTTCTAAACTAGCTAGAAATATGATCTTAACCCTGTAGTAACCAGAGCACAGAATCAAGATAGGGCAAGGACTGGGCTGGATCAAACCAAGACTGTTCAGGGCAAAACCATTTGATGCTGGAGGTGGGATGGCCGAATGGCGCACACTAGCAGCCTCGCTTCCTGTCAGACTGCGCACGGGGCAGCTGTGGCTACAATAATAATTTACGTTGACGACTTTAAGACAAGGTAGAGACCCACACTAAGTTATAGCAGGAGTGTTAATTTACACGTTTGCAAGTTACAATATTATTACTGTTATAATTCAATAAATACATGGGCGAATGCCAAAACCATTGTACAATATACTTATTCTCTGCATGTTGCTCACATCTTTAGCCTTTTGCTCCGGCTCGAGAGTGCAGCTGGGCGGGTAAGTTGTGAACATCAGGGTACAATGACAGGAATGAATTTCACTGTTGGAACCGAGCAAAATGTGGTCAGATCAGGCACAGCTGGAGTGTGTCTGGCCCATTGTGAAGAGGAAGAGGAGGAAGAGGAGGAGGTCTGCGCAGGTGCTGACAGAGGGCGCTGAGCTGTGGCCATTGAGCTTAATGTGAGCGACAAGAGAGCACTGCCCCCGGAAATAAAGCATCACGGCCCGAGATTTTTTGGGCAGTTCGCTGTACAAACACCTGATAAGGCTCTAGAGGGAAACAGATGCTAGTGTAACGTGCTATAACGTTTAGAGAATTATAAGCGGAGGACTTTACAAAAATGTCAAATTCGCCAAGACTGATCAGAAAATCAAATGGTTTAAACACAAGAAATGCAACAATATAAAAACACTGAGAGCCATTGGTCCATAAGGGGCGGATGACCAATGTCCATAAATGTTGATAAAAGTCCAATGAGGTTGTTGAATGTCAAGTGTCCTGGATCCTCACCACTGTCCTTTGACCCTCCTGCATTGGCAAGTGGAAAAACTCTAAATACCCAGTGGGAGAAAAGTGAGATACCTGGTGGGTTGTTATCACAGTTACTAGTTCAACATAGCATAATCATTTCACTCTGAGTGGCAAGTATTTTTAGCAGAATTGTGGAGCTGTGAGTTCTATTCCTGTAACAGACTATAGCATTCATTCCTTTCTAGGTGTAATTATTGCTTAACGGCTTTGAAAAACAAGTAATATCAGCTGGGTGCCTTCTCTACAGATCTGACTTGTAAAGTGGCATGATACAGTCCCCTGCTTGTATCTATGGAGTTAAGTATAAGTCATGTAATTGGTCAAATCACACACACACAAAAAATACAATATTGAAATATAATTCACGTTTACAGCAAGGAAATACGAGTTGTGGGTAAGGTCTTGAAAAACGCAAGATCACAATTATAACAATGTATATACTGTAGATGCTTTTTTTAAAATCACACAGAAACACAAAATTGCAAAATAATGTCAAACTAGGAAGTCCCAATTCAGAAAGCCGGGCGTCCACTTGCCATGAGAAAAATCTGACATCTGGTTCCAGCATACAAGTCCCTCACGCAGACGTTCTATAAATAAACAAATCATTTCTGACTTTGCTGACCGTATTTGGTTGCCTCCAGTTACGGTAAAAATGAAACTGCTGAATCCTAACCTAGTGCCCTTCATGTGTGGGATAATTACACGGTACACAAATGCTAGAGATAATATGGTTTCTTAATCCCTCCTGGAGAAGAGCTACCGTTTAAACTTGCAAAACCTCAAATACCGTTCCGATCCGTCACTGTCCCATTTCGCCAACATAAATACTACAACTTCAAAAAAAAAGAAATGACCTCAAATGATACCTGTTGCAGTTGGCCAGATGTGTAAAGTGTGTGTCTATGGCTTTCCAGCTGTAACCGCCGCGAGACTCATATCCCCACAAGCTCACACCCATCTCAGTTTCAAAGACGCATCCACCTCGCAAAATCCCACGGTGACAATTTAACACGCGTCTAGCATGTCTTTAAAAGAGGTGATACAGCCGAATTCAAAGGAGCGTAAACATTGCAGCCATCTCGGGAGCTTTCACTTAGAAAAGTTCTGCGATTCCCACCCAGCTTTACGACGCTGAACCCATAAGGAGCGCTCGCATAAAGGCACAAAAAGCTCGGACTTAAACGCGCTATAAAAAGACGGTGTTTTCTCGAGGCTTTGTCTCCGTTTGCTGCTGCAGGATGTTAGAGATTTGACACTAAAGCATGTATTATATGACTCACTTTAGTATTGCAGCTTATATTTGTGCACACACTGGTCTTCAAATCGGATCTCAAAGGGCTGCAGGTTTTCATTCTAACCAAGCAGGAGCACACCAGACTCCACCCATTTCGTCAAGCAGATGAACCGGCTCAATGAGGTTTGATTTGAACAAGTAAAAGTTTGTATTTTTTTTACGTTCAGAATATGCGTATTATCAAGCTTTAGAATTTATCTTTGAGGACTGGTTTGAAGACAACTGGTACAAGTAAAGAACCAAAAAAAGGTTCTACTTTTACTGATCTAAATACATATTTTGTAGATTCTAAGAAGTCTCCCTCCAATCCAAAATCTGAACTCCTCCAAATAGACACTTTGATGATTACAAATGTGTTGTAAGCCCTTCAATATCAGTACTGTTGATTCATAGATTGTGATATTCTGTGGTAATCCTTATTATTTTTAAATTCACTTCATTAAACAATGTAGAAAGTATTCAAATAACAAACTGTTTAAGGTCCAATAAACTCAAGATCTTCATATGGCTTTAAAATCATGCCTATAGTCACAGCAATGGAACTAATGGTATTTGTTGCCTTTCTTGCTGAAAGTGAAAGGTCCAGAGACATTCTTGTCATTTGTATCACAGTAATACCATGAAATACCAAATAATACTCATAACAAAACATAGCAGTTATCAGCAAACGCAGAAGTGGCTGTCCTGTTTTCGATGCCCACACTGCCTAGACTAAATAAAGTCAACAATTGGCGTATGTGTTTTTTGAAATGCCACTCGGGAGGATGTGTTAGACAGCCACCTATTCAGAAGCCTTTTCCTTCCCAGCGGAGGTTCAAAAGAGGAATGTTCAGTGAGCGAGCTGCGAGCTGCTTTTCCTCTGCGCCAGGCACACAAAGGGACGCCTGTCTGTGGCGGGACGTCCCAGAGGACAACACGACGGGCAAAGACAATCTGCCTGCACCTGCTCACCCTCCACAATGAGCGACATCCAGTGACCTTAGCGGAAGTGACACGAGGATTAACCTGTGCCTCTCCATGATATACAACACGTAATCTGTTTAATCAGATATGTTCTACACATCTGTTCAAACGGAAAAATGGGACCGGCAATGCTCAATACTATTGCTGCTAATATTCAGATTTGCAACTCATAAAAAACAAAATAAATGGATTGTTTATTGTACCTCACTACATCACTGTCAATCATTGTGACCAGCACCAATCACACGTTTAAGGTTACTGTTAGCATCTAACACCGATTCATTTTATTTGGAAAAACAATTCTGGAGGTAGTGGAGAAGATGTGAAAGACAAATAAAACTAGAGACCCAAAGGAAAATAATTTACTTTTTTTCCCAGAAAGGCAGGACTTCAAAATCAAAAGGATGCACATGGTTTAAGTGCAGCTTCAAATTGAGCTCTTTTTGAATGTAGGATTGGTAATTTACAGTGACCCTAACCCTTGCGAAAGTATTCAGCCCCCTTGAACCTTTCAACATTTTGCCACATTTCAGGCTTCAAACATAAAGATATACAATTTTAATTTTTTGTCATGAATCAACAACAAGTGGGACACAATCGTGAAGTGGAACAAAATTTATTGGATAATTTAAACTTTTTTAACAAATAAAAAACTGAAAAGTGGGACGTGCAATATTATTCGGCCCCTTTACTTTCAGTGCAGCAAACTCACTCCAGAAGTTCAGTGAGGATCTTTGAATGATCCAATGTTGTCCTAAATGACTGATGATGATAAATAGAATGTACCTGTGTGTAATCAAGTCTCCGTATAAATGCACCTGCTCTTTGATAGTCTCAGGGTTCTGTTTAAAGCACAGAGAGAACCATGAAGACAAAGGAACACACCAGGCAGGTCCGAGATACTGTTGTGGAGAAGTTTAAAGCCGGATTTGGATACAAAAAGATTTCCCAAGCTTTAAACATCTCAAGGAGCACTGTGCAAGCAGTTATATTGAAATGGAAGGAGTATCAGACCACTGCAAATCTACCAAGACCCGGCCGTCCCTTCAAACTGTCATCTCAAACAAGGAGAAGACTGATCAGAGATGCAGCCAAGAGGCCCATGATCGCTCTGGATGAACAGCAGATAACTACAGCTGAGGTGGGAGAGTCTGTCAATAGGACAACAATCAGTCCTTCACTGCACAAATCTGGCCTTTATGGAAGAGTGGCCATTTCTCAAAGATATCCATAAAAAGTCTCTTAAAGTTTGCCACAAGCCACCTGGGAGACACACCAAACATGTGGAAGAAGGTGCTCTGGTCAGATGAAACCAAAATCAAACTTTTTGGCCACAATGCAAAACGATTTGTTTGGCGTAAAAGCAACACAGCTCATCACCCAGAACACACCATCCCCACCTCAGTTGTAGTTATCTGCAGTTCATCCAGAGTGATCATGGGCCTCTTGGCTGCATCTCTGATCAGTCTTCTCCTTGTTTGAGAGTAAAGTTTGGAGGGACGGCCGGGTCTTGGTAGATTTGCAGTGGTCTGATACTCCTTCCATTTCAATATAATTGCGTGCACAGTGCTCCTTGAGATGTTTAAAGCTTGGGAAATCTTTTTGTATCCAAATCCGGCTTTAAACTTCTCCACAACAGTATCTCGGACCTGCCTGGTGTGTTCCTTTGTCTTCATGGTTCTCTCTGCGCTTTAAACAGAACCCTGAGACTATCAAAGAGCAGGTGCATTTATACAGAGACTCGATTACACACAGGTACATTCTATTTATCATCATCAGTCATTTAGGACAACATTGGATCATTCAAAGATCCTCACTGAACTTCTGGAGTGAGTTTGCTGCACTGAAAGTAAAGGGGCCAAATAATATTGCACGCCCCACTTTTCAGTTTTTTATTTGTTAAAAAAGTTTAAATTATCCAACAAATTTGATTCCACTTCACAATTGTGTCCCACTTGTTGTTGATTCATGACAAAAAATCAAAATTGTATATCTTTATGTTGGAAGCCTGAAATGTGGCAAAATGTTGAAAGGTTCAGGGGACCGAATACTTTCGCAAGGCACTGTACCTTTCTCCGGTTGACCTAAAGAAAAAAGCCAATCTAATCTCAAGAGCTAGTACTTGCATGGGCCACTGGTAAGAAATTATCCAGAGATGCTTTAATACAACTTTGTCAGGTTTGAGATAACAAAAACCTCAATGCACCTATACACCTAAGTATACCATCATACTATATACTGTATGTACGCGCCAATATAGTCACTTTTCTTTGTTATTGGTTTTTCATATCTGGATTAAGTCTTGGCTGTGCCCATTGTAGCTGCTCCTAAATGACTTTTCCACACATGATTTATTGTAACAAAAGCCTGTATAAAGCCTCTCAGTGCACTTTTGCGGCTGATTCTTCTCTATGGGAAAGAAAACAGGATGAAACGAAGGGAAATCAGAGCATGGCACCCATACACCTGACTCCATTGAGGCAGGAAGTGAGGCTGCCGCTCTCTGTTCGAACTCCCACTTTACAAATTGAATGCTTTATGCACAAAACAAGACAAAACTAATCAGTGCATTGAAGGGCACTGGCGATGTCCATGCCAGAAGCTGTGCCTGCGTCTCCTCCAGGGATAAAGTGCATTTGTATTTGAAATAAAGCAGCAGCATCCCAAAATAACTCATTTGAGTGTCTCTAGGGGTCTCTTCTTGGGAGATAATGGACAGGGGGATGGGGCAGGAGAGGAAACTGAAGATGCAATTAATAGACCCGGGAACATCAAACATCGATGCACTTCTGCCACTTCCTGGCTCTAATCCATGTCATCCCAACTGAGCAAACTCGGCCCGTTAGAAATTAAATTAAGCAAACAGTATGTGCCAGTCAATGAGGACTGAAAGGTCTTTGTGAAGACAGAGGGCAGACCTCATATGCGGTGTGCTCACAAAGGTCTTATTCACTGAGCAGGTGATGCTATGAGCTGGCCAAACACTCAACAATACCCATTCCAGCCTAAACACAATCTGCTGGTCATGATGGCGTCTATTCTCAGAAGGTTTAGACAAAATCTTCTTTTGCTATTTGTACGTCAAACAAAGTATCACGTCATAGGTAGCAATATACTGTATGCTTTAAGAGCAATTCTTTAACTGTATATGCAAAAGGATATAATGTATTTGAAGCTGGGGTAGCTATCTTTTTTGTTTCATACATCGTATAGAAAGAGTCTTTTAAAATAAAAATGTTGTGAACAAATCAGACCCTGACATCCTGTGTTCATCTTATAATAAATTAGCATCCTTGTAAGACAAATCTCTGTGAGTCACTAACTGATGCTTTGTGCTGAGAGCGGAATGCCTGCATGACGGTGGGCCTCTCTATTTTACTTTTCTGTCTGAAAAGGCTGATCTATGGAGAATGTGACTGCACGTGAATTCATACGTGAAAACTCACTATAGAAAATTTTCAGAGAGATAAACTAATTTTTCTTGGTTTTGTTTGAAAATGAGGTATGCCAGCTTTAGGAACATAACTGTCAGTTAAACCACACATACTGTTTATTAGTTTCCTGCATTGATATACATTTTTTTTTATGAAATTTACATTGGCTAATATACACTCATTTAAGTTCCCTTACACCCATTTAATTTTGTTGACCATAGCAAAAGCCCGCACTGAGAATAATGTGCAGCCCATATCAATCAAACACTCAAAACTTTGCATGCTTTGATCGCACATACCACACAATCTGCTGACGGTGCAGTAACTCTATTGGTTTTGTCGATCATTACAGAGGCCGCATAGAGCACAGAGACGGGGGCTCACCTTTCGGCTCTCTCCCGGGGGGCTGTCGGGCATCATCATTTTCACATATTCCTCCTTGGACAGCCTCTGCAGCGTGCTCCCCTCCTGTTGGTCCTGAAGGCGGCAGGCGGCCTCCTGAGCATACAGCTGCCTGCAGATGAGACGGAGGGCAGAGAAGGGCACACTCGTCAGACCGATCCATTGCCGCTGCACTGGGAGGAGAACGCTACAAGCCATCACGGCGAGAGGTCACGGGGCATCCAGCTATTCACGGAACTGTGTCAGGATCATAGGCTGCGGGGGCTGTACTATTAGCATGCTAACACCATCCGGCTCATTGGTAGTCGTGAAGCGGCACCGGGAGAAGGCGTCGGTGCATCTTCGCCTGATCTATTGTAAAGTGCGTTTGAGCAGCATGTGGTTGTCACAAATGAAAACAAATGCATACATATACTTGGAAAATCAAACATGCTTTACTGATGTTAGTGTTACTTACTAGTGCTGTAACAATGCTAACGTTTTAAACTTCATCTCGATAGAAATGAATAGATTCTATACTCAATACTAACTGAAATGTTTTTGAAAACCAGTTCACTGTTTTGTGTGTGAACGCCTGGTCCAGTTTACTTATTTGGACCAATTCTGGTTCAGTTGGGGAAAATAGGCTTTACTGTATATGTGAATGTTAAAACCATAAAACACAAGTGAACCAGACTTGGTCCAGTTAAAGTGAATCAGACCAGAACCAGACAAAGATCATATCGTTTTAAAACACTACCACAATTGTTGGAAGAAATTACAAAGAAAAAGCACATGTTAAGCCTTCTCCTTAACATGAAAACATTACAAGAACAGCAAAAGTAAATACAAGACAAAGGTTACAGACACGGATTATGAACCAAACATGTTTTGCCTGTGGGTTAGCGGTGTGATCAGACAACAGGGAAAGTGCTTTGTTAGACAAGGCTGAGACGGATTAGCCATAAAGTACACAGATAAAACACATTTCAATGTTGTTGCGAGATTTGGTGCTTTTAAAACACAGGGATACAGGGGAAGTAAACAACCGGGCAGCTTGAGCGGTCATGTGGCTGTGAGACTTCTGCCAGAGAGCAGTTGGAAGAGCACGAGACGACCACAGGGACCAGACTTCCAGACAATAAGACTGTTCGGCGTTTGAAGCTACTACCGCCATAGCAACCATTCTCAAAATAGTGTGGAGTGCTGCGAATGTTTTTATTGGCAGATTAATTTATGAGGGATTTTCAGAACACAACATGACAACAGTGTTTGGAAACTTGTCATCATGAAGCAGTAATGCAACTTAATATTACATCCCTTACTATGGGACACTGTTCTTACATTTCTGTCATTCAAGGGATTCAGAATTAAAAAAAATAAGAATGAATGATGAGCCAACCAAAAACATCATATCTTTTGAATGGGAAAAAGCTCCTGACATTGTTGCATGAAACAAGAAGCTGAAAAAGCATGAATCTGCAAGAATTTGAGTATTTTTCCCTTCAAAAAGATAATATTTGGTCTTAAATTGTCTATTGCTTTGGCCGCGGTTGTTATTTTTCCTCATTCTGAAAGCCGTGGACAGACGAAGCATCAACAGCGCCAAGGCGAAGCAATAACATCTCCATAGAGACGGGCAGATATGCAACAATAGCGTTTTGAAGTGCAAAGTAGAGTTTTCCTTTAGCGGCTAAGCGAACGTGAGGGTTCTGAAAGGTTACAGGGTACGGCTGCACGACTTGAAAGAAATATCTAATTGTGATTATTATTTCTGGTATGAGGCTAGGATAAAAAGTGTGCCAGTAGAATTGAAACTTGAAGGACCTGTTTTTTTGTTGTTGTATTAAATTAAACGTGTTGAAATCTAATTAAGGCAAGGCAAGGCAAGTTTATTTATATAGCACAATTCATACACAAGGCAATTCAAAGTGCACAAGGCAATTCAAAGTGCATTAATTAAATTAATTAATTAAAGTGTATTAATTAAGGTACATTCTCACGTATAACCCCACTGTTCATAAGCTTGAACTTGTCATTTCCATTAGCAGATAAAACACTCAGAGTAGACTTTTGTCCTTGCTACTTCTCAAATGAGTGCAGTTTATGCGAAGGTTTAATCCTGGGTTATGTTTTAAATGAGATTTTTCCTTTTCATGATTGTAAGTACCTGTCTATTGTCTATGTTGTCTGCATCAGCTACTAATGGAGACCTGAAATTTGCCTTGTGGGTGTTTTGGCTGCATGTAAAGAGTGTAACATTATGTTTAGCTGTGCATACAACTGAAAGATTGTATCCACGTGCTGTTTAACGCACTGTGAATATCTAGGAGTTGCCTTGCGTATGACCTGTACTATACAAATAAACTTGAAGTCTTTTGTGCTTGCTTAATTGCGGCTGCTACAATTGCGATTTTGATTGTGAATAATCGTGTAGCCCTAAGCATGCAGTTTGTCGCAGGAGACAGCAGAGAAATGTCACAGCCACTGGATCGCAGCCGGGGACCTCTCTTTCCTCTCCGCGCAGGGCCGCATCAGCACCAGCTCTGCTTTAGACATGCCGGGATGGGACAAGGAAGAGGGTAGAAGTGGGGTAGTGGGAGTGCGTGTGGGATTGGGAGATCCGGGTCAAATTGGGGCCACAGGAGGTTGACTTTGACTGACTGTGTACCTTGAACGCTCTGACAGCATTTGGAGAAGGAAAGCTAACAAGCTCTCCGCTCCTCTGCAACAAGCAAAAGAGAAAACAGCCCTAGGTTAGAAGCATTTTTACACATTATTAGCGTGCTAGTGCAAATGAGAAAACTTTTTTAAAAGATAGAGGAAAGGGAACTTCATTACAGAACAATATCTGTGAGTTTTATTAGCCCATTTATCATAAAGTAGTGTTACGTAAGCAGAGGAAATGCATAAACAAACAATAGGGAGCATAACTGGATTACCAGGTTTTTCATAAGACGACTGGAGACGGCTTTACTGCGTGCGATCAATCACACAGTGCTTAAGTGGCAAATTTCATGGCTTAAATCAAATTTCCAAGGAGCTAAAGCAGGAGGGTAGATAGCACATTCATTCTCTCATTCCCTCCAAAAAGCCTGGAGGCCTATAACCACATTCAAACAGACGCGGACACACACGCTGCAGCTATAAGACTTATTTTATAAACAGTGGCCCAGTGTTCTTCCTCAAAACCATTTAATCCCAGACACCTCCAGTCACTCGTCACGTTAAGACTGGGCACACTGTACGCTCGTATCTAAGTAAATACATGCGTCTTTGTTGGCCCCGCTCCGGAGGCTGTTCTGTGGAATCTGTTAGTGCCTCGAGCCTATTATGTGTCTAGGTTACCAAACATGGCAACCCTCTAAGCACTGTTGGCCGGATATTCTCATTATAAAAGGACTAAGATTGCTGCAACAAAACAACCAGCAAAAATGTAATGGGGAGAAAGGTGTAATGGGTCATTTGATTGTATACTTGATATTCTAATGAAGCGTTATAAAACTTAGTCCCCTTATCAGAAACAGACACGGAGTTGTTTTTACCTACACCCATGCTAATATCAATTTCTTCTGACATTTGACTGATTGCTCATGCCCTGGTTTGGATTACCCTGTTTTGTTGTGTCAAAGCAGGTGTTATGTAGCAAAAGTATAGCTTCTAAGTTTTGTCAATCCCTTTATTGAAACGGTGTGGATGTATTTGCTGAATGTAAGGGTTGCAAACGAATAGACAAAATTCCGCATGGTGCTAGATGTAGGGAATTACATGCTAAGAACTTTTTTCCATGTTTATTCATATATCCTCCACCTAAGAGATTCTTTAAAATTACTAAAACAAACAATCTAGTCATATTTAAGGGCCACACAATAATACATATTTCTTCTAGATTTTATGTCAATTTTTATGTCCATACATAAGTTCCCAAGTAAAGTTTCTATAAGGTTGGAAAGATTTTAACTCTTTGAAATCACTCCCAGTTAGTACTCTCTATCGTAACTGCATTTCAACTATTTATTTATCTTTAATTTGAGACGAGCACTGGCGCTACAGTAAGCTCTTTCAAATTCACACTACTGATTTTCTTCATTTGAAATCTAGGAGGAGTCTGAAAAACCAATTTCAATGAAGCACAGCGGTGTGGTATTGGATTCCACTGTACATTCCTAAACTAAGCAAGTACATACATTGGTCTTTATTTGTTCAGAGGCTTTTTCGCGGCTCAGGTCTGTGCACTGGCAGCAGTCTGGCTCCCTCCTGAGATGCTGATCTGGTAAAGGCTGAGGCCCAGGTCCGCGGGGAGCCGGCCTCACAGCAGCGATCAATAACCAAAAGTGACATGTGCCAAGTGTATTATGTCCACAGCTTCATCGAGCTTATTTATTTTGTGGCTGTCTGCTTCAATCAGGGACAGTTTTTATGCACACCGAGCGAGCTGATGGGGAGGAAGGTCTCTGTTTTAAAGTGCTTTTTGGTCTGGTACACAAAGCTAATAGGAGAGGTCTGTGATGCTGGCCGTGTCCACAATGACACTACAGAAGGCGTGCCAACCAGCTTTGATAATATTATGTCCAACTGTTCAGGAAGTAAAGATCAATAAGCAATGTTGTAGCTGTGTTAGGAAGGTGTACCGGGTTTTTATTGTCTTAAAAACCCATAACGTATTATTCCTCTTACTATCAGAAGATCAAATTTTTCATACAGTCCTTATTGAACCTTTCAAACCCAGTAGAGTAGTTTGCCAACACAGTAAAACTTCTGAAGTCTATCTAATTGTAGTTACTTGGCCTATTTTTGCAATGTGCTTACTGTTTAAACTGGAAATAGGAGATCTTGTTCCAGGCTTAAGAATAGCGCAACCGTTTTTTTTTTTTTTTTAGCGAATATAATCTATGTACATTATAAAAGAAGGTTTTGACATTGCCTTGTAAACACTAATGAATTGTGCTTTCACTGCAACTTCCGTCAAACTTAAAGCTAGGGTACCTAACTTTTTCCATCATACATAATACATTTAGTTTGTTCCAAATAGAAAGAGTCTTGTATAAGTGAATTGTGAACAAATCAGATCATAACATGCTGTCTTCATCTTAATCATCTTATACTGTGAGTCACTATAAGAAGTTTTAGATGCTGAGAGCTGATTGGCTGAGTGAGATTGGTCTTCTCCTTTGCACTATTCTGTCTGTAAAAGCTGATCTAAAGATGTGACAAAGGCTTTAAAGACATGTGTGATGGCACCAAACCGTTTTGCAAGAGAGGAACAACCTCTCTCGCAACATTATTATGGACTGAAAGTTGGTTACCCCAGCTTTAACGTATATAAAACCCAAACTTTTGATTGCATTTTCCCATTGACTTTCTGCGTCTCCTGCTCTCACACTCACCCACACTGTGAAATGTTGGGAGGCCCCTCTTCTTCCTCATTGGCACTATCCCCTGTTGGGACGTTGGGCTGAGGGCGAGTCTGTCCACAGGGCTCTGAGCCGTCGCCCTGCACTTCCGCCTCTGCCCTGTCTGAGGCGCTGCTGCTGCTGCTGGTTTGGGGGATGGTGTAGGCCTTGGACGAGTCAGCGTTCATACAGTAACGAGCACCGCGGGCCAACGGGCTGCCCGAGTGATGTGACCCACTGACCAAAACAGCAAAAAAAGAAAAGGAAAACAAAAACATAATGTAACTCAAAGATGACAAAAAATGGACAAATGAAAAGACAAATAAAAGCAAAATTATGACGAATGCATGAGTAGTATCAATGGGTAAAAAGTGAGAAAAGGGATACATTTTTATTGGTTGAAAGGTCCTCAAAAGGGTGCCCAGCAGAGGGAAACGTGACAGTGACATCCTGAGCTCAGAGGTTTGAACAATGGCACTAACAAATATTGTAATTGTTTATGATCAAGGTTCGGTATTATACATTTATTGTTCCCATTAGTAAGTTGAGTGTGCTTGATTTCTGCCGTACTATTCAGAATGTGGAAAAAATAACATTCATTTCAAAGAGTTTGTTGTTCTTTTTGGCTAGGGTGCCAAGAACTCACACAATCGCAATTGGCATTTCCTGTTTTTTGCAACATAAAACATTGTATAACATCAAAAGCCATGTTTACACTGGAGACGTTCAAAGTATGCACAAGTTAAATGGAAATTATAATAATAGGGTGAACAAGCTCATAGATTTTACAATGACAAATCATAATGTATTCAAGATTATACTGATTTATTATTTGACTGAGATCAATCCTCCAGGGATTCTTTAAAATCTTGGTATTTTGTTCTGCAGCAAGCTAGCCTCACCCTATCCCTAACCTTAACCAAATTAACAGTTTATTATTCAACCTTGACCTTAACCTGATGGTGAATTTTTTATTCAAAAATAGAATTTCAGCGAGTGCCCAAGACTCCAACCATGCTTGACGACTCAAGGTTATATAGGCATATGTAATAGATTAAAGTAAAACAAAGATAACTTATGTCAAAAAAAGTGTTATTTAAAGAAACTAAAATAGAGTCTTCTAACGTCCTGCAATCGCTTCCTTAACGTTCCATGTGGGCTTTGAGATTACATGTAAAACAATCCCAATGAATGCATTTTGCCCTTTAATTTAACGGATGTCTTCATTTCCTCGAACTGTAACAATAGAGTACACTTTGACCTGGAGCTGCGAATGAATCCAATCCAGATTAAACTGCCGAGCGGTGATTTTTGTTGACCCGTGTCCTTTTAATATCCACAAATATCAACTGGCACATGGGATTAAAGCTTCTGTGGCGAGGTGCTGCTTCTGCCTGCTGCCATGGGCTTTGGCTGAGCGTTACTGTGAGGGAGATTCAAACTAAACAGTCATTAAATAAAAGGGCAAGAGATACGTGAAGTGTGATTTAATTACACGAGAATATGAAGAGGTTCTTGATGTTGGCGAAATAACTGGCTCTCTATTAGCATCCAATTTCATCTGTTATTTTTATGAGTCATTATATTTAATATGAATCATAACATTACACAAATATAACTAACAATAGATCGATGTTTCTGGGATTCAGATTGCAATATAAGCAAACGATTCGACAACAATTTGACTCAAAGCTAGGGTATCTTACTTTACATCTTATCTTATACTGTACATATGTACAAATTTTTATAACAGGAATAATCTATGAGAAAAAAAAGCAAAATTTTAACAAAATCAGTCCACAACATGCTATTTTAAACATGACATATTATCTGACACTTTGAGCTCGGAGCTGAGTGAGGGTGGCCGTTTTTTTCACTTTTCTGTCTGAAAAAGCTGATCCAAGTATGGGACAGAGGCAAAACATGCATGAAAATGGAATGTATTACATAGTTCCAGATATTTATGGTTCTAAAGTCATGTACCCCAGATTTAATTTATTTACGAGAATTATTTTTTGATAAAATTCTACATGATTTTTTTTACCGATCCATTCAGAAGCACCAGGCCAAACAACAAGCTGCAGGAAAGTCTGACTTGCAAACATTCCGCCTTTTGTTTTGTGCTTTTGAGTGAGAACTTGAAAATCCCAGCCCGTTTTCAAATATCCTGGGACCTGGGGGCAGTAGCTTTAGCTTCTGGCTGTACCTCCGAATCCTCCATATTCATGACCATCTGGGCCACACCCGCAAAGTGCACTCCCGCTGCTGCTGCCACTGCTCAGATGACACCCCGTTGTCAAAGACTATTATGTAAACGGCGGCATTCATCGAGCAAGTCAAGGTGATGGCATGGGCAGTCTCGCTCACTGACAAGCTATCGGGCACTTTTCTAAATAAGCCAATGAACAGATTGTCATAACATAATCTTGATTGGCATCAACTAACACTATATGAAAGTGGCAGACAGTGCGTGTGGCTCCGGGGCAACTCCTGCTGTCACTTGTGCACTTCCCTTAGATGGGTGCGAGTCAAGGGGCAATGATGATAAGCTTCCCTCGTGGTACCAATTCCTACTCCGGACACAACCAAGTGCAGAAAATATCTGCGATTCAAATTCAAATGTCTGCAAACAGTGGGTTGAGCTGTCAATAATGATTTAAAGGTGTGAACTGCCTATAGGGAAAATCAATGACGCAATGACTATGGCTCATAAGGGGAAATAAACTGGAAATAGAAGTGTGGCGGCAAGCGTAAATGAGGTCAAACGCTATATAGAAATGAGCCTGCACTACAGAACAGTAGATGGAATACACAGGACATAGGTTTTCAACAAATGCCTGATATTATTATTTTAGTAGCTGTGTCGCAGAATTTTTAGTCTAGTTTAAAAGTAGGCATGTGAGACTTCGATTTGTGATGGATTGGTTTAAATGATTCATCTCGATCTTTCAGCTAGTTGTGTCTGTGTTATTTTGTTTATTTATTGATTTCAAATATTATTAAGTTAATATGGTTTATACTTCTTTTTGGTTTCAATAGATTCAAAAGTCCAAATCTAATCGTTTTTCCCCCAATATCCATTATTCATGATCAACTATAAATGAATACGTCACTGATCTCTTGTCACGGTTTGAGCAAAATGATGATTTCTCAGATTTGGCATTGTTCCACCTGTAACGTTACCAAAGCAGGATTACCACAGCCGGCAACGTTCAACATGACAGTCGTTAGCATTACAGTGATTGGAAAAAGCATGGGGAGTTATGGATACTCTCACTGTACCTTGAATGTGAAGATATTTCGCTGAGGTCTCCGATGCTTCCCTCAGTCACGTGACCCGACAGCACGGCAGACGCATATCCTTGGGGCAGATAGATTTTCCCATGATCCTCTTCACTGCCCCCGTCTTCGGACATCCGCTGGAGCAAGACGCGGGCCCCCGGAGGCACGCACAAGTTGGTGTCGATGCCGCTGTCCGTGGAGGCCCCTTTAATGTAGGTCAGTCCCAGCATCTCGGGGTCCATGAGATCCCCGGAGCCAAAGTGCTTATCATCGCTGTTGCTGGAGGCGTTGCTCGACAGGGTGTTGCTGCTGGAGTGGCTGGAGTTCTTGTCAGTCTGAGACACATATTATCCGTATCAGCCAAATAATAGTAATACACAGGTACAAAATGGTAAAAGATACGTTTTTCAATAATCCAATTAGGTATATTTAATCTTTCGCATGTGCAGCATAAAACTTCTGCTAAAGATCTATGGAGCTAAAACAAATGTTGTGTGTCATATGATGGATTATATAAACCCCTCCTCAGTGGTCACAGGTGCCTTCTGGCGGTGATTCAAGATTCAAGAATTTATTTGCCATTTGCAGTAAAACCACATTGGATAAACTGTGCAAGACTAACCCAAGATTCATAGAACCACAGTTTGTAAGTAAATTTCCTTTTATCTGCCTTAAAACCAAAATAAATTGCTCATCATCTATCATTTTTTCCATAGCATCTCATTTTCAACTAATTAATACAATATTGACTGATTAATCAACAAAACAACCAAAACCTCCAGCCTAATTAATATTAGGCAGTTGCTACTTTCTTAATTTTCCTCATCACTATCACCACCATTTTTTTGGGTTTTTCCACCACAAGAAAGTACAACCAGAGACAAGAGAGAATGAAAGTCTTCTTTTGCAATTGACAACAACAAAAGAGTGGATTTTCAGAATTGGTTTGAGAATTGGAAGTCAAACACGACAGGCCTGAAATTCAGTTTGAGTTTTACAAATGCCAAACAGTGACAGCTGAGCGCCGATTCAGAGAACTTCTAAAACAACAGCTTTTTGGACAAATAGACAAAGTTTGGGAAATATCCAGTTTTTGGAGAGCTTAAGAACAACTTCTACCAGCATTTGTCTAAATGAAAGATTTATAGGTGCTGTTAGAGATTTTCAGGAAAAGTATAAAGGCTCATATTTGGATATGACAACCTAAATACTACCTGCATATCATGTCCTCCATAATCACAACATGAATTCCCAATATATAGAATTTTTTAAATAATAAAAGTCAGTTTTATTTGAAATCATTCATTCTATAGTTGTATGTAGACAGCAGAGACAAGAGCCCATCATAACATTTATCAGCTAAAGGAGGATGGATACAGGAGGCAAAAGTGCAGTTATGAAAATACTGTATATGTTCACTACACTAGCAAAAAGGAAAAGGCAGAGTACACTTTACAAAGAGTAAAATATGTTTCTAAAGTACTATGACCTTCATTCACATATAACGGACCAGTTGTGGGCCTGAAGCCATGGAAACAGTTATAAAAATGGATATAATCTCAGACAGATTCCTCACTCCTGCTTTATGCATTAGGCCCAAGATATTTTCAACATCTTTATCCACAGGGCTAGGTTAATGCAACAGTAGAGTAAGCCTTTAAATTAAGTTGTTATCCGTGTTTGCCTGCAGTCTTGACGCTGACACAAGGCGGTGAAATGAGAAAAAAAACCAAAGTGCTTAATTTATTCAACCTTCGAGAAGGAAGTGTCCTAGGGAAAAGTGGGCGACATCCAGATTCGGTGATGAGCCTAGACGCCTGTTAGCATGCTGATGAAGGAAGTGTGACAGCAGCGGAGAGGGGCCCTACTGGGCTAATAATTACAGAATATACAGGCAATCTGAACTCAAATAATTAACAAGACAACATGGAGTATGAAGAGTCTGACAGTGTGTCGGCATTTAGTACATGAGGTTTTGACAAATTGGGGAAATTCCACGGAATATTACAAGTGCATGCATTTTATGACCAGCAGACAATGAGGGAAAATCAGGCTTTTGGGGATTTAAATATATGATCAAATATAAAATCTGTTTGGATGCTTGATATGCCAAATGTTTGAATCACAGGGCATCTGACATAATACTACCAACATTTAAGAGCAAAGTGTAAGCTATGGTAACTTTTCTGTTTAATAAAAAAATATGTATTTAGGTTGTGTACCAGGAAGAGTAAAAAGTGAACTAATCAGAGCAAAATCCTGCCGTCTTCATCTCATAATTTGGAAATCACCAAAGTATAGGATATAACTTACTGCATATTAAGTACTGTATTTTTCGCTATCATTTTTTACTTTTCTTTACAAACGGCCTTTTGATACCCGTCATATGGACTTTGAATGTCTCAAGAACTCCACCAAAATTTGTCACAAAATATGTCACGATATCCCTAAAAATGTCAAGATTGAAACTTTTACCCTGGACAGTTTGTTGGGCGAGTCCTTCCCTTCTCTCTGCTTCAGTGGGTTTAGGATCTTTGTGGAGGGGATGTGCCATTTGGCTTCTGCAGAAAAAAGCAGAATAAAGATGATCGCAGATGTTTCAGATAGGTCAAATGTTATGTCTGGTAATTTCATCTGAGTTTATAGGCCATACCTGCAGACCTGGTCCTCTCAAGTGTGGGCTCTCTCTCCCGGTGCATGTCTCCGTCCCCTCTCTGCATGTCCCCTGTGTGATCGTGAAGGATAGGGGACGGACATCTGCAGATTAAAGGAAAAAAAAAAAAAACACGCAAAAAGGATTAGGTCATTTTTTCCACGGTGAATACAAATGGCACGAGGACACTTTGAATGGGTTTGTACGGCAATTAGCTCAAGATCATTTGAGGTCGAATGTCTTGAGATCATAATGGAATAAAGCGGTTGCCAGACAGGGCTGACAAAAGACCTCTTTTTTCACACACTATGGCATGCCAGGGCTCTTTCAATTGCAAACCTTTTCTTCGTTTTTTAATTAGAGTCCCAGGGTTACATTTGGACTCTAACGCCTGACATTGGCCAAACCAGGGCCAGACTCTGTTATTAGGCCCGAGCCCCGAACGGGGTAAGGGCCTATTGCTTTCACAATGGTGAAAACAAATGGTGGCGGTGCGTGACGGACGCGTCAGCGCCCGTCACTCACCAAAACGTGACGGTTGCGTGCGTAAACTCAAAAGCTTTAAAATGATGTATCACATGCCATTGAAACCTATATTGTTTTTGCTCGAGACGTTAAAAAAAAAATTCCTTTTTTATTTATTTATTTATTTCTTTCTTTCTTTCTTTTTTCTTCTGCACTTTGAGCCTTAATTTGACCCCCTGAACATGCATGAAAAGTTGTTAATTTTGGCCCAAAAATCAGACCTGGCGAAAAATTTGATATTTTGGTGTTTATTTTTATGGGACTCAAAAAATGACAGAACAGCGCCACCTACAACAGCCAAAATAATACCCCTATGGGACTTTTCTGAGGTCAAGTTTGTCGTAGAGCCATGAAATTTGGTACACATGTTCCTCAAGTCAAGACAAGAAAAAAATATTATTATGGCCCCGCCCCCTGACAAACAGGAAGCCCATAAATGTCACTGCAAAATGGAAAAATGAACAGCAAAAGTTTTCATACATGACGGTTGGAAAGCGACTCCTCCTCGGCCGTTTCACCGATTCGCCTCAAAATCGCTCCACATCATCTCAACACATGTACCTTCAAAATGACCTCAGGGATTTTTGATCAGTGAAACATTGTTCGAGCAGCGGAGCGGCAAAATGTGACCTTTTTTTGGCCGTTTTTGACAACATTAAATTTGCTCCCGTTCGCACAAACAAAGTCTGATTTGCACAAAACTTTAATACATTGTTCAACTCTAGGGTCTAGGTCGTTTGAAAGTGAATTAATTCAAATTGACACATTAGCGCCCCCTACAGACTATTTCAAAGTTTTAGATGGGCATTTTCAAATTTAGTTTTTTCAAAATGTTTGAAATTTTGCACATAAATCTGTTTTGCCCTCTTGATTCAAAAAGTCAATAGAGTCCAAGGCCTATTTTTTACCCTGTTGCCGTGGCGACGACAAACGCTCCCCATTCATTGCAAATGTACACCTCACACAAACATCAAACCAGCCTCGGCTGTTTCACCGATTCGCCTCAAAATCGCTCCACATCATCTCAATACATGTACCATCAAAATGACTTCAGGGAATTTTGATCAGTGAAACGTTGTTTGAGCAGCGGAGCGCCAAAAAGTGGCGTAATTTTTTTTAGTTTTTGACAATAGAAAAATTGCTTCCGTTTGCACAAACAAAGTGTGATTGGCACAAAACTTGAATCCATGGATTAACTCTTTGATCTAGGTCATTTGAAAGTTTAAATTTTGAAATTGGCTCTATAGCGCCACCTACAACAGCCAATTTAAAAATGCCTATGGGATGGGTTCGAGGTCAAAATTGTCGTAGAACCATGTAATTTGGTACACATGTTCCTCAAGTCAAGACATGGAAAAAATGTTATTATGGCTAATCCCTCTGACAAACAGGAAGCTCATGAATTTCATTGCAAAATGGAAAAATGAAAACCAATCATTTTCATACATGTCGCTTGGAAAGCGACTGCTCCTCGGCCATTTCACCGATTGGCCTCAAAATTGCTCCAAATTATCTCAACACATGTACCTTCAAAATGACTTCAGGGATTTTTGATCAGTGAAACGTTGTTTGAGCAGCGGAGCGGCAAAATGTGAGGGTTTTTTTGGCCGTTTTTGACAACATACATTTTTTCCCCGTTTGCACAAACAAAGACTGATTTGCATTAAACTTGAATCCATTGTTCAACTCCAGGGTTTAGGTCAGGTGAAAGTGAAATATTTTAAATTGGCCCATTAGCGCCCCCTAAAGACTGAGTCAAAGTTTACATGGGGAGCCAAACCAGCTCTACTTATTATATTCATTACAATTTGACTAACAATCTTCTATGGCTACGGGAACAAATCATCACACAACGGCGCCACCTCCTTTGAGCGGTGCTGCGTGGTACGGTGTGGTGCGGCGTAGTGCGGGGCGTTGTGGAGCGGCGCATTGCGGCTTGGTGCGGGGCGGCGTAAGGCAGGACAGCGTGGTGCAGGGCGGCGTGGTGCGGGGTGGCTTGGTGCGGGGCGGCTTGGTGCGGGGCGGCTTGGTGCGGGGCGGCTTGGTGCGGGGCGGCTTGGACCAGGTGGTGCGCAGGGTGCGGGGAGTCGCGCGGTGCGGCGAGGGCCGTTCGACGCCGCTTGCGGCTTTAAATTAGGCCCGAGCCCCGAACGGGGTAAGGGCCTATTGCTTTCACAATGGTGAAAACAAATGGTGGCGGTGCGTGACGGACGCGTCAGCGCCCGTCACTCACCAAAACGTGACAGTTGCGTGCGTAAACTCAAACGCTTTAAAATGATGTATCACATGCCATTGAAACCTATATTGTTTTTGCTCGAGACGTTAAAAAAAAAATTCCTTTTTTATTTCTTTCTTTCTTTTTTCTTCTGCACTTTGAGCCTTAATTTGACCCCCTGAACATGCATGAAAAGTTGTTAATTTTGGCCCAAAAATCAGACCTGGCGAAAAATTTGATATTTTGGTGTTTATTTTTATGGGACTCAAAAAATGACAGAACAGCGCCACCTACAACAGCCAAAATAATACCCCTATGGGACTTTTCGGAGGTCAAGTTTGTCGTAGAAACATGAGATTTGGTACACATGTTCCTCAAGTCAAGACAAGAAAAAAATATTATTATGGCCCCGCCCCCTGACAAACAGGAAGCCCATAAATTTCACTGCAAAATGGAAAAATGAACAGCAAAAGTTTTCATACATGACGGTTGGAAAGCGACTCCTCCTCGGCCGTTTCACCGATTCGCCTCAAAATCGCTCCACATCATCTCAACACATGTACCTTCAAAATGACCTCAGGGATTTTTGATCAGTGAAACATTGTTTGAGCAGCGGAGCGGCAAAATGTGACCTTTTTTGGGCCGTTTTTGACAACATTAAATTTGCTCCCGTTTGCACAAACAAACTCTGATTTGCACAAAACTTTAATACATTGTTCAACTCTAGGGTCTAGGTAATTTGAAAGTGAATTGATTCAAATTGACACATTAGCGCCCCCTACAGACTATTTAAAAATTTTAGATGGGCATTTTCAAATTTAGTTTTTTCAAAATGTTTGAAATTTTGTGCATAAATCTGTTTTTCCCTCTTGATTCAAAAAGTCAATAGGGTCCAAGACTTATTTTTTACCCTGTTGCCGTGGCGACGACAAACGCTCCCCATTCATTGCAAATGTACACCTCACACAAACATCAAACCAGCCTTGGCCGTTTCACCGATTCGCCTCAAAATCGCTCCACATCATCTCAACATATGTACCATCAAAATGACTTCAGGGAAATTTGATCAGTGAAACGTTGTTCGAGCAGCAGAGCGCCAAAAAGTGGCGTAATTTTTTTCAGTTTTTGACAATAGAAAATTTGCTTCCGTTTGCACAAACAAAGTCTGATTTGCACAAAACTTGAATCCATGGTTCAACTCTTGGGTCTAGGTCATTTGAAAGTAAAAATTTTGAAATTGGCTCTATAGCGCCATCTACAACAGCCAATTTAAAAATGCTTATGGGAGGGGTTTGAGGTCAAAATTGTCGTAGAGCCATGTAATTTGGTACACATATTCCTCAAGTCAAGACATGGAAAAAATGTTATTATGGCTAAGCCCTCTGACAAACAGGAAGCCCATAAATTTCATTGCAAAATGGAAAAATGAAAACCAAGCATTTTCTTACACGTCGGTTGGAAAGCGACTCCTCCTCGACCGTTTCACCGATTGGCCTCAAAATTGCTCCAAATTATCTCAACACATTTATCTTCAAAATGACTTCAGGGAATTGTGATCAGTGAAACGTTGTTTGAGCAGCGGAGCGGCAAAATGGAAAGTTTTTTTCTGCCGTTTTTGACTACATTAATTTTTTTCCCGTTTGCACAAACAAAGTCTGATTTGCACAAAACTTTAATACATTGTTCAACTCCAGTTTTTAGGTCAGGTGAAAGTGAAATATTTTAAATTGGCCCATTAGCGCCCCCTACAGACTGAGTCAAAATTTACATGGGGAGCCAAACCAGCTCTACTTATCATATTCATTACAATTTGACTAACAATCTTCTGTGGCTACGGAAACAAATCATCACACGGCGGCGCCACCTCCTTTGAGCGGTGCTGCGTGGTACGGTTTGGTGCGGCTTAGTGCGGGGCGTTGTGGAGCGGCGCGTTGTGGCTTGGTGCGGGGCGGCGTGATGGGGGACGGCGTGGTGCAGGGCGGCGTGGTGCGGGGTGGCTTGTCACGGGGTGGTGCGCGTGCGGGGGAGTCGCGCGGTGCGGCGAGGGCCGTTCGACGCCGCTTGCGGCTTTAATTTATTTCTTTCTTTCTTTCTTTCTTTCTTTCTTTCTTTTTTCTTCTGCACTTTGAGCCTTAATTTGACCCCCTGAATATGCATGAAAAGTTGTTAAATTTTGCCCAAAAATCAGACCTGGCGAAAAATTTGATATTTTGGTGTTTATTTTAATGGGACTCAAAAAATGCCAGAACAGCGCCACCTACAACAGCCAAAATAATACCCCTATGGGAGTTCTGAAGATGAAGTTTGTTGTAGAGTCATGAAATTCGGTACACATGTTCCTCAAGTCAAGACAAGAAAAAAATATTATTATGGCTCCGCCCTCTGACAAACAGCAAGCCCATAAATGTCACTGCAAAATGGAAAAATGAACAGCAAAAGTTTTCATACATGTCGGTTGGAAAGCGACTCCTCCTCGGCCGTTTCACCGATTCGCCTCAAAATCGCTCCACATCATCTCAACACATGTACCTTCAAAATGACCTCGGGGATTTTTGATCAGTGAAACATTGTTCGAGCAGCGGAGCGGCAAAATGTGACCTTTTTTTGGCCGTTTTTGACAACATTAAATTTGCTCCCGTTTGCACAAACAAAGTCTGATTTTCACAAAACTTTAATACATTGTTCAACTCTAGGGTCTAGGTCATTTGAAAGTTAAATGATTCAAATTGACACATTAGCGCCCCCTACAGACTATTTCAAAGTTTTAAATGGGCATTTTCAAATTTAGTTTTTTCAAAATGTTTGAAATTTTGCACATACATCTGTTTTGCCCTCTTGATTCAAAAAGTCAATTGGGTCCAAGGCTTATTTTTTACCCTGTTGCCGTGGCGACGACAAACGCTCCCCATTCATTGCAAATATACACCTCACACAAACATCAAACCAGCCTCGGCCGTTTCACCGATTCGCCTCAAAATCGCTCCACATCATCTCAACACATGTACCATCAAAATGACTTCAGGGAATTTTGATCAGTGAAACGTTGTTTGAGCAGCGGAGCGCCAAAAAGTGGCGTATTTTTTTTCAGTTTTTGACCATAGAAAAATTGCTTCCGTTTGCACAAACAAAGTCTGATTTGCACAAAACTTGAATCCATGGTTCAACTCTTGGGTCTAGGTCATTTGAAAGTTAAAATTCTGAAATTGGCTCTATAGCGCCACCTACAACAGCCATATTAAAAATGCCTATGGGAGGGGTTTGAGGTCAAAATTGTCGTAGAACCATGTAATTTGGAACACATGTTCCTTAAGTCAAGACATGGGAAAAATGTTATTATGGCTAAGCCCCCTGACAAACAGGAAGCCCATGAATTTCATTGCAAAATGGAAACATGAAAACCAATCATTTTCATAAACGTTGGTTGGAAAGCGACTCCTCCTCGGCCGTTTCACCGATTGGCCTCAAAATTGTTCCAAATCATCTCAACACATTTACCTTCATAATTACTTCAGGGAATTTTAATCAGTCAAACGTTGTTTGAGAAGCGGAACGGCAAAATGTGAGGGTTTTTTGGCTGTTTTTGACAACATAAATTTTTTCCCCGTTTGCACAAACAAAGACTGATTTGCATTAAACTTGAATCCATTGTTCAACTCCAGGGTTTAGGTCAGGTGAAAGTGAAATATTTGAAATTGGCCCATTAGCGCCCCCTACAGACTGATTCAAAGTTTACATGGGGAGCCAAACCAGCTCTAATAATCATATTCATTACAATTTGACTAAGTTCTTCTATGGCTACGGGAACCAATCATCACACGGCGGCGCCACATCCTATGCGCGGTGCTACGTGGTACGGTGTGGTGCGGCGTAGTGCGGGGCGTTGTGGAGCGGTGCGTTGCGGCTTGGTGCGGGGCGGCTTGGTGCGGGGCGGCTTGGTGCGGGGCGGCTTGGTGCGGGGCGGCTTGGTGCGGGGCGGCGTGATGCGGGACGGCGTGGTGCGGGGTGGCTTGGTGCGGGGCGGCGTGGAACGGGGTGGTGCGCGCGGTGCGGGGAGTCGCGCGGTGCGGCGAGGGCCGTTTGACGCCGCTTGCGGCTTTAATTTGGAATTACAATTGCACCAAGATCACTGGATTTTTCAATTTCTCTGTAAAACAAATGAGAGGCTTTCATGATCAACGTAAATCAATTAAATGTATTTGAGGACAATGCGTTTTTCGTGAGTTCCAATTTTGATAAAGCATTTGTTAGTAACTGTTTTGCTTGTGATGTCGCAATTCCCTTTCTTTATAGAGCTGCGTTACAACATGATCAAATTCCATAGCATCTAAGTCAAAATTGATTTCAATCACAGGTAACCATAAACCCTGCACAATGCACCCATAACTAACATTTTTGTTCTTCAACACATAAACAGTAAACACAACATGAGTAAACAGTTGACGAAAACTCATCGGCAAGAACCAGCAAAACCAATGATAGTCATTGAAATAATTTCCACATTGAAACGGGTCCGACTGTACTTTTGAGACAGATTAACTTGTATATTTTTACAGTGCATGCTTTGACAGGGTGCAGAGTTCGCTGCACTTTGGAGGCCTCTGACAGAAACGTGGTGGAGCAAAGCTAAATCTCTTGTCATGGTCTGTAAGCACTTAGACAGGCAGTGCTCCTATGGGCTGCTTTCATGTAGTCGACAGATGGTGTGCAGTCAGCAAACTACAATGCCATGCAAACCATTATGACATTAAAAAAAGTGTGGGATATGCAAGCGAGTGCTGTCCTGATTATCAACATGTGGCTGCTTATATAAAGAAACAAATGATTGCGCAAAAAATGCATTAAGTGATAACAGAAAGATGTATCACTTATATGACAAACCACCTCTTCAAACTTCAGACTACTTAAGATAATATTATTGATCTGTATTGATCTATTGTAATCTAATGTAAGTAAGTAAGTAATGTTTATTTATTTAGCCCATTTTATAGACCAAGGTCACCCAAAGCACTTCCATTCTCTCCATGGTGATGACGGAAGCAAGAAGCCGAACACACTGGCGCATCAAAGCCCCCAACCAACACCATTCATTCAATTACATTCATACCTATACATGTTTTTAGTGTTAGGGGAAACCGGAGCACCCGGAGGAAACCTACACAGACACGGGGAAAACATGAAAACTCAGAAATGCCCTGTTCCGACCAGGATTTGAACCCAAAACCTTCTTGCTGAGAAGTGAGAGTGCTATCCATTCGCCCAATGTACAACTTTATATACTGTTACTGCAGATTTTAAATTACAACAACACCTTAAATATGTCACCAAAAACCAAGAAGCATTGTTGGAAGCAGAGACCAGTGCCAATGGTATGGGGTTGAATCAGACTGTAGAAGGGGTGGACTAACAGAGTGCTGATGACACCCATAGTGTTTGCCAAATGTTGAAAAACCTGTTTCAAACAACAGCCATGTTGAAGGTTTGGAACCACATTTCTTTAACGGACATCACACAATTACAAATGACTAAAAACACCAGGATCATAGATTTTAAGAGTGTGACACGGACGGTTACTGAGCTAGAGGCGTTTACTTTCCAATGTAAGCCAGTAGGAGCCAAAGCAATTGGAACAAAACTTTGGTCATGAGCGTTTCCCTTTAGGCTTCATTGAGCCAGCGGGTTAGCACTGTCCACCTATATTCTCCTTGAATGAGTCGAAAGTCAATATACTTTGTTACATGTAATAGAATAGAATAGAAGTTTATTTGTCATTGTCAGGTGCACAACAATACAACTACTGTTTAGCATCTCCATCAAAAACTGACTACAGTGAGTTGTTAACAGGGAGCGTGAAAACACATTTTCATGTTAGGTTTATTTAGGCCATTTAACAAAACATTTTCGGTTTTGCATAATAGTCTTCTGTCTACAGCAACACTTGTCTACCTTCTATATATATCTTTACTAGTGTGGTCTGTGCTCAGGTAAACCTTTATTACCATGTTAGCATTTAAATCCAGTGTTCCCTTTCGTTTGGCTATTGTACAAAAAGGTGCGATGAGGACTAATAATATGGCCATTGGGGGGTGGAAAAGATTGCTGTTATTTTGTGAAATTACAAGTTCTTTGTAGCAGACTGATGGCCGATGTAAGTGGCTTTCATAACAGCTGAATCACATTTTAGGGGGGGAGAAAAACAGTTTTGCAAGCAATTTTAAAAAGTTTACATTGATGAGTTCTCACCCGTCATATCCGGGCTGTTGGGACCATGTGCCGCTTCCACATGGGCCGGGGTCACTGGACGAGGACTGGTTACTGGGAGAACTGCGGTAGTGCTGGTCCCCTTTGTTACATGAAGACACCTGTGGATTCTCCAAGTCTCCCATGGTCCTGGATAGAAATAAATAATACACGTTTACTATATTGTTTAGTTAATGGAACACCAGCTATCTCAGAGTGACTCCAGTATATATGGAACAGAAAAAACAGCTGCATGGAAGTATTGTGTACTTCATTTTTGCTTCTCATGACAGATTATTGACAGCTTCCATATTATGCTTAAGATAGAGAGAGCTAGAGATTTTGTTAGTGATAGCTGAATTTTTAGTATAGAGTTTACCATAGAGCTGTGTTCATTTATCTTATCCTGTGCTGTGTGCTCATTCCTACTGATCTGTAACTGGTGATGCAACACTGAACTTTCCCCACTGTGGGACGGAAAAAAGGCTCTCATAGTCTCCTAATCTTAAGTAATATCGACCTTTATTCAGTTAAAGTCTCTAAACTACTCTGGTTTATTTTAAAAGTTTCCATTGGGGCTGTATTTGATTAAGCATTGATAGACAGGAGGTTTCTTTGCTTTCTTTTCCCCGTCTGTGAGAAAGCAGCGGACAGCAGAGGAGAGCGAAAAATAAACATAGTTGGAGTTATGTCTAGAGGCCATACTTTTAACACACGCTCCAGAGCCGACTGTATCACTGAAGTCAGGCTGATACAGGCCTGATAGCTTTAACACAGACGCATTTACAAATCCAGAAGCCAGGTTTGTTTCTCTTTCATCTCATCAGAGCAGTGTTTGTTTGAATCAAACAAAATAGGACTGGTCTCCATGGAGATACGACTTTGATGAGAATGTTCCACAATACAATATGCAGATTAGATATGAGCCTGGAGACCTTAACACAACCGAATCAACGAGATCTATGCAAAGACAGGCCTAACAATGCATTTTTGTGAAATGATTTAAACAAGTAATATGTCTGTTAATGTTATCTTAAATTTGGTGGATGGTGTTAAAGTCATACTAAAGGAATCAGCAGACTAGTTCGAGTTCAAGTTCAAGCTTTAAACTAGGCCTATTACATACATTTCTTCCCAGTAAAGACTAAAATGTCTCTTGAATGAACTAGTTTTTGTATGAAATGTGCAAAATGCCACTGTCGTCACCAGAAATGCAGAAATCAAGTAATTTAAGAATGAAAGAATCAGGAATTAATCAGTATTGATTAACAGAGATATAACTGGAGTGGTAGCTATTAGAATTAGGGCAGCACAGTTCTGTGTGGAGTTTGCATGTTCTCCCTGTGTAGGTTTCCTCCGGGTGCTCGGTTTCCCCTACAACTAAATACATGTTCAGGTAAGAAAGTAATTCTGATTCTGATGGTCAGGGAATGTAAAGATATCAGTACTTCTAAAGCATTTGTATGACCAAGATTACTGACTTACCAACTAGATGCCACCTTTTTTTATTTTGCGTTACTATGCTCATTGTACATGATGAAAATTAAACTCAATGCCTAGCTAAACTCGTACAAAAATTATGTTCATTACCTCTGCCATGGTGTAATGTTTTGTTAAAGTGTGTGTGTTTTTCTGTTAGCGACATCACTCAAAAAAAAGTGATAGCTGGATTTTTTGCTAAATTTAAGAAACCCTCCACAAAAGATTAGATTTTGGAGGTGATCCAGGTCACCGTCTCATTCTGGGACAGTGTATTATCAACGGTGGTCTGTGCTCTATGTTTGCTTTTGTAGTTATTATTAAAACTTTGACTAGAAAGTAAAGAGAAGACCCTTAGCGTGACATTTGAGCTGGTATGTTTAAGTAAGTGTCCTTAAAGAACCCTGTGGTCAAGTAAATGTGACCAATTACGTCCTGCATCTGGATTTGATTAGAAGCCGAGACAGGGGAAAAGAAGCTGGCCAGAGACATGATTTCAGACTGATATTATTGACTGTGAGGGTGTGGTAGGAAAGAACCAATTATTACCAACTCGGAAATAAGATAGAAATGTTGATTATAACTCAATTTCGAACGTATACCAGATTAATCGGTAATTCAGTGCCACTTTGGGTTACAGATTCACGTGACCTCCAATATACTACTATGGAAATCCAGTAAATACATTTCTATACTACTTTAACAACACTTCATTCATTACAAATTCTTCAAACATCTGATGAAAAATGTGTATAAATGTATATATATTGGCCTTAGTGCAAAAATTGAAGTATAATAATCATAGACCTCAATGGAAACCCTGCAAAACGTCCAGAAATCGTTCACATCATCGAACACCTTGGCCACATCGGAACATTTCCTCTCATTGGCTCCGATGCCGAATGTAAAACGGCACCAGATGCTCCGCTCTTGAGAAAACGTACAGAGCAGAGAGGATATAGTTTCTGTATGAGCCGCAAGATGTGATTTTGGCGAGTTTGGAAACGCAACGCGCTTGGTATTTCAGACTTCAGGTTAAGCAGGCTACAGACTACAGGAGTATTTGTCTCGTGAGATTTTAACTTGCGACACAGTTCACAGACATTAGGATCATTTCAAACAATTTTCTGTCTCACACGCTTCACTCATGATTCATGAAATAAGGACATGGCTGCATCCAAATTCAACAATTACACCTCTTAGCGTGTCTGTCCTTTCTTCTCATCTTAAATACCTCCCCGAACCCAACCAAAATTGAAATTGGTTGATCATTTTATTCAAATCACAATGACCTTTTGTAAAACAGGACTGTATTATGTAAATCAGCTGAAGATTTTGGTATTTATTTACTTTCCAGCCAGATCCAACTCACAATTCACAAGTCCAATTTGCCACAACCCCTTTAAAAGTTTACAAATCAATCTAACGGCCTTTGGTAGACCAAGAATCTATTATTTGGTCGACGACAGCTCTATCAGATAAATCGCAATTTCTTGTTAAAAAGAGGTACTCGTGTAAGGCTCCGCTGGATTCATATTTTGAACAGAACATATGATTTGAACTACATTTGAATTGCATTCCCTTTATTATTCTTCAGCCGATCCCTTCACTGCCTGCTGGGATAAGGATGCTATAGACACCCACACATAAACACGCCCATGTTTGGAGTCTGTAGAGATCCGATTTGCCCCCAATGCAATATTCAGCCCACGTCCTCTGCAGCCTCTCCAGTCTACAGTGTCTGCCCGCTCGTCCCTCTGGGGTGCTCCATATTGTGGTCTGAAGAGGAGAGCGCTCTTTGTTTCTGCAGTAATTGGCTGAGATGTGTTGAACCATGTCAGCGTCCCCAGCTCCACCTCAGAAGCAGCAGGCGGTCTGAAGGAGGAGCGAAATGAAGCTGCAAAGTCGGGTTATTAGACAGGCAAGGCGGCCATTATCCTCCGACAGGCAGATACGGCAGCAAAGGGAGGGGGGGGGGGGGGGGGACACACACACTGGAAAGGTTATCATGGCTGTAGGGGTTTCATTAGAAGGAACAAATCACCGCGGTGGAAATGTCCGAGAAAGTGAGAGCGCCAAAGTGCCTGGCCCATCATCTCGCAAATGATGAAAGAAACGGTCTGAATTCATTGGCTTTAAGTGCTACATACATTTATATGCAGATAAATCAAAAGGATAACGGCTCTCAAACAATCACGGACATGTTATGAAAATGAGCTCCAAAGACGATGCATCTCGGTGGAAAGACTTTTGAGTGTTTGGTGATGTTTGATCCACGGCTCAGTGCAACCGCTTTCAAATTCAACCTTGAGCAACAGGGGTGACATTCTGAGTTTTTATCATTCATCTTCCTCCTTCTACCGCATTTTAGTAAAAGTATCGATACATGTTTATGTCCCAGCTACTGCACAAAGCATAAATACTGGAGAGGAAGCCATAACCTTGTAATAATATTTTAATTGCTCGACAGTCGCAGTTCCCCTTTGGTCTTGATTAAAAGATCAGTACCTGTTTACTAATTTAGGTCATTATACCCTGGGCATGTCTGGCAAACCTAATCGTGCACTCAAGTGTTGTCTATGTATGTGTGGAAACCGTACAGAGGTAAAAATGTTTTGCCTACAACCACCGACTGTCTAATGAGTTTATTCTCATGTGTCATTGGGCAGACTCCAAACCCCAGTGTCTGCAAACCTTTTTGTATGAACTAAGATGGTTAAAACAGTCTTTGAGTGCGGCGCTATATGCCGTAAACCTGCATATAAATAAAAGATGAAGACAGGAGACACCAACAGGTAACAGTGGGTTACAGCATATTTGAAAGTATTGCTTGTAAGAACAATTTGGATTTTGAGGACATCAGTTGAGGAAAAACCACCTAATCTGAAAATAGTGTGACTTTAAAGCTGGGGTATACATGTACAATACATGTACCAATTTCAGACAAAAAGTGTTAGATATTCCAGCTTTACATGATTGCAGTAGAAGGTTTCCTAGTGGTAATAATTGAAACACAAACATGTTTGGTTGATGAGGCTTAACGCCGAAACGTCGCACTTCAAATACATATTTTTTAATTTGCAAGTAAGACGGTGTGCGGGATTCTTTCTCTCTATCACATTAGGCTATACAGGCCTCTCCTCCGACGCACCCAATCTGTAGGTATTGATGTGCGAATCCCTACTCCAATATTTGAAACACAAAACATGAAAAACTACCTTGATCCATCTGGGAGTTTCCTATCGAACGAGGTGCTTCTGGGGATGGTGCCTTGATGCTGCTGGAGGATCTGTTGACACTGCAGTCTCTCGGGCCCCTGGGTGGGAGAGCCTCGGGATAGCTGTGGGCCCCCGGCCGTGGGCATGCGGTGCCACGTGGTATTCCTCCTGAACGGGGTCTTGTACTCGCAGGGCGTCCCCTCGCTATCCACTTTGTATTCCACCATCGGGATGCGGTACAGCTCTGAGCAGCCCCTGGGAAACATGCAGAGGCCTCGTATTAGATTTTGTTCCAACTCCATTCCTTTTTCATTCAAATAGGGATAAACAGTATAAACAACAAGGTCACAAATGATTGAATGTGAAAAAACTAATATCTCCCTCATTTTCTAACAACTTAGCCAAATACAAAGGATGCATTAGACTTAATTACTTGCGTAACTTGCATGAATACATGTTTAGGTTTGAGGGTTAGTGACCACAGAACTAGTCTTCCAGTCTGACTTTCCACTTTGGCTACATAGCATTACATGTATAGTAATGTATTTTTTAAAAGAGGCTTAAAATGCATGCAATTCTACTTTTACATAAAGACTGAAGACAAATCTCTTCACTGAATTTGATAGATTGCAGTGATTATACTAAGATTTTCCATGAATAGTTTCTTAATTACTGCATAGGATCTCATCAACAGTTCATTAGTCATAAAGCGCTTGCAGCTCATCACCACAAATAAACCAATGTCTAAACAAAAATCTGTTTCTATCGACAGCATATGGTTCTCTATGCTGCTAATGAGAGACTTTTTAATGTCATGAAATTTGGAGGCTTTCAACAGACAGAAATGCCACAAAATGTTAGAGAAAGTCAGCCCTGTGTGATTATTGCATTGCCTACATTCCAGAGTATAGTGTATACAGTATCTATGTAGACAAGCAGGAGATGGATACATTTTAGTCGTGAAGCAGCACACAAGGCACTGCAAATTATTACACATTTGTTTGTACACCCCTGATATTCTATATGCTTGCACTGTTGGCCGTCTACCATCTATGTTTCCAAAATCACAAGCTAGTAAAGAAGAAAAGAATATTGTTTCACTTATTGAATCAACACAACAGCTATAATGTAAACAACAGATCATTTTAAAGAAATAAAAGAAAACAGCAAGACAAGGGCCTGGATTGCGGCGATATGACAACAAAAACATAAAGCGCTGTCAGAAATAACTAGATTCTACAACCGTGATAGTGACAAGTGCCTTGAGGAGACGGGCTTACGCTGTAATACATTGGGGGCTTAGAGGCACTAGACACACACTTAGGAGAAAGTGGGTTCAAATCTGTTATTCAAATAAAGCCGAAAATCTTGGACCGACACTTAATCAGATATGAGTCTCCCTTGAGCGGCTCTACACAGGAGGTGGTGCGAGGATTTAGCCCCGTCCCGCTGCTGTGTGGGGGGGGATCTTTGGGGTGAACGGGGGTCTACAGCACTATTTCATGCAACATTAATCATTGGGGCGAAGGGGAAGAGTCTCATATATGCTGTGGTAGATAGAGGTCTTGAGGGGCAGCGGCGATGGCTCAGGGTTAAACAGCCACAGAGATCTCGCAAGTATCTCAAGCATGACCTACATGATTAGGCCCTGCCCCCTCGCTATGTATTCCACTGGAATGATGGGAGGGGGGGGGACACAGGGTTTGAAGCAACAGTGGAAAGTAAAAACAGTGGTGTGTTTATATCTTGGAACAACTCTAAGGTATAAACATGAATTTCAATAACATACAGGGAATTGATATAGACAGGGTTGTCCATTCAAATATATGCTAAAGTTTGAGCTTCTACGAATAGCTTGAATCTGATGAAAAGGATATCCATGCAACAGTTTGTTAAGTACTGAGTGATCAAAGTAACCTATACTGAAAAAAGCAGACATACAAAAAGGATTACGGTCCTGAGAAGACTTACATTGTTGAAATGCTCTAGAAACTTAATTGCATACCGTCTCTGGCTTTCTTTTTCACACAAAAATGTCCCCTACTTAAACATTAATTTTCACCTATAAGTCTGGAGCATTACGGACACATTCAAGGGCATACTATGTACTTAATGTTAATTTGTTCTCTTGACTTCATAGGACGCTGCCTGATGGATAAGACCACACAAGCCAGAACATGGACTTTGCATCACAAACATACTCGGGCCTTTTCATCAAACTGGGGCAGAGGAGGCCGTCTCTACTCTCGCTGTCCCATTGGGGAAAGAGCGTGTCATAGGATCTAAGTATTGTGCCCCCATCGCACATTCTCTGCAGCGCCTCACACATCTGGAGACTGCAAATGTGAGGGACCTGGCCTTGATGGCTTGTCCAGCGCGCTCAACATGTCCCCCGTGTTGTCGTTAATTATTTACTGAATACCATGTAGTGTATGTTACATGCATGACCGCGCTCATATGTGGAGCAGTGAATAATGAGGAGAGCCGATGTTCAATGAATGAGGTTTTTGTTTTGCGAGGATTGACCCAACAAGGTTTTAATGTATGCCGTGACATGGTGTTGCATTATTAAGGACGTACAGCCCTCATTATACACAATAGGTTTTGATAATCAATGTTCCATCGAGAGACATTGAATGAGTAAGAATGCCTGCACACTGGAAATATAGGTTGAAAATTGTGATAAGTTGTGTGTTGACAATACAGGGGATTACAGAAACTTGCTTATTTTCTTGTTTTTTGTCTTAACGTCTTACATTTTTAGTGCTTTGTACAGGGTTGTAACTATTTTATTTAAGGATTGTCCCAGTGGGGTAGTAGGCACTTTTGTTTTCTTTCCCACACAAAGAAGAAACATCAATATTCAAGCCCTGTGAAAGCAGCGGGATAAAAATTCTAGTTTTATCCATTTGTGAGACATTGTGGTTTTAGAAGAAAGTCTTTCATCACTTTCTTCCGATCAACTTTCTTTACAATGGAAAAAAATTAACATTTTCTGTGGTGCTAAAAACACAAAAAACCCCTTGTTCAAACCAGTCAAACCATGTCTAATGTAAAGTCTAATTCTAATGGAGTGAACACTAAATAATGCATCACAAGGGCCCATCTCTAAATAAAAAATGCCCTGTAAACTAGAGTATATTCACTTTCAGCCTATTATTCTGTAAATGAATAGGGTTGTCAAAAGTATTGAAAATCAAAGACAAATCAATTTTACGAGTTAACTTGAAACTGGATTCTCATTTGAACAGAAATTCTAAAAGAAATAACAGAAACATAATAAAAGTGTAATTTCCTACATACTGTATGTGCCAGATTTTGAGCTAGTATCAAATAGTAGTGGTACCATAAAAAGCAGGATCTGTGTGTATTATTATTGTATGTAATGAATGGCAGCTGATTGTGCAAAACAAAAACATGAAATCATCAATGAGGTATCAGGCCAATTCAGTAATGCAGTCTTCTAATAAAAGGCATACACTGGTGACCGCGTATAACATCGTTGCCATTTTTGCTCCGCCAGCTGCATTCATTTCTCTTTACTAATTGTTGAGAGATGCGCATTATTATGTCCTATGATTTAGCAGCCTCTGTCAGATATTGGAGCTAATCGGCGCGTTAGCCCCTTGACCGTGGCTTCATTGGTCTTGGTATCAGGCCTGTGAACCGCTCATTATCGTGATTAACTGTGTGTGTGTGGTGCTGCCAGGTTGCCACACGCCATTAGACCCTGAATGGGCTAAATCCACATAACAGCTTGTCAACAGGAAAGGTCTCTGATGCTCTCCCTCGCTGTGCATTTTCACCACTATGAAGCCATGAAGCGACAGGCTCAAGTTTCTCCGCTGACCTTAATAGTGTTTTTCTGCGCCCTTAATGATTCACAAAGAGCACAGGGAACCGGGAGTGATACTGGAGGTGTGTTCGCGATCCATCTCAACTCAGGCAAAAGTGATTAAAGCAAGGCTAAGCAGGTCTAATGGACTGTGGGACTGAACCAGCACTAATACAAGATGAATGGAAGATAAACATCAAAAGTATATATTAGAAAGGCAAAATGCAATTCTAAAATATAAAATTACAATTAAAGTATACAAATAAACAAGTGTAGATTTGTTTATTTGTATACTTATTCTATTTTCACTTTTATAACAAAAGCCAAAGCAATTTTCTAGTTTGTGATTACTGTTACTCACAAAGGCAATGGAAATATTGTATAATTGCATAAAATAATGAATACAAATTCAAGCATCGCATTTGCTAGAACTAACTGCACATTTTCAAGCATGCCAACACTTTTTTCTTTAGCATTACCTGTGATGGAAGGAGTGAAAATGATTTCACTCCTTTGAAAGGGAGAACGAACCTAACAAGCTTCATAAATCGACCTAAAAGAGCAACCGGAGACGTCTAATGGATATAGATCAAAAAGTAACAGCGATTGATGGCGGTTTGGCTCTATTTGTTGGTCTTATAGTGGTTATTAGCAGTAAACGGAAACTGGAATTGGACAGAATTTACAAAGCAGCACCGGCTTCCTTTTCAGCAAACGATCACAGCACACTCTGGACTGAACACGACAAGCTATAAATTATACCACAATGGCCTACATAGAGCTGTCCTGAAAGAGGCACAGCGGCCACTCAACGTCATTGGACCAACATGGGAGTGGGAGATTACATACGGTGAGTCCCAAACAAGTGCCGTTTGAGCAGACATGAAACACAAAAATGCTTTTTGTATACTGGTACATACGTTTCAGAGTAAATTACAATCAAACATATGCTTGTTTATCTTTGGAATGCTGGAAAGTATTCAAAATTAGAGTTAAGCCCAAAGAATCCAAATGCCAAAAGGTTTACACGTAATACGCATCTCTTAAAACTAACCATATGCGTGCTTATCTGTGGAACTATTCAGTCCTTGTGAAAGAAAAACGCAATCATTTATAATAGGTGACAGCCCGGTCCAGTCTCCTGCTAATCTTCAGTGTTGTTTTTGCTGTATTTTAAAAGACAAAAATCACAACTTTGTATGCAAACACTGAACCTGTGGCAGTAGCAGTGCAAGAAGCTGAAGATTTCTTAGAGATTATCAGTCAAATTAACATGAAATAAAGATGGATGATAGACTCCATGCTCTTTGCACCCGAAGCACTTTCATGGATTATACTGAGACTTTAAGAAACATTATTTCTATCTTGCAAACAGCAAAAAACTCTAAAATGTCACACATGTCATTTATTGCTTCTGTTC